ACGAGAGAAATCATCGGCCGGTATTCGGGTTATTTATTCGTATTATTGTACACATAAACGCGTGCATCGTATATATACGTGTATTTTTTTACGGACAATCGTAAATTTTCTTTTTCATCTGGAATTTTTATATGCAAACAGAAACAAAAATTGAGAAACATCGCGATGGTGAGCAATGTCTTTATCGATACGATGCTACCCGAAAAAGATATGAAATGGAAAGAGTGTGAGCCAAGGTGTCGAGCGTATGAAACTTGAATGAAGTTCGAGCAAAAAATTCCGGTTTTTCGCGCGCGGCACCGAAATCGTTAACGGAGTAGTACCACACACGAATCGAGCGAGACAAATTCCAATCGATCTCAAGCTCGAATATAATATAATTCATAGATTCTTAATTCGTGCAAATACATCGGCGAAATTGTGCCTCGTGCCCAGGTAAACGCGACACACAGAAGAAGTATATCGAAGCCACGAAACTTCACGCCGCCGATCTCTCGAAATATATTCATCACGTACGTATACGCGAGTTAAAGGCATCAATGATGATCATCTGCTGCTCTCTCTCTCTCAACTCGACTTATAAGATGGGCCAAGAATTCAGCGGGTTAATTATAGCTGGCCAGGGTAAATGGAACTCTGACCCAGTGATCCCCATTAGACGTACGTTTTCTTTCCGTCCATCCGTCCGACTATATAGCACCACCAGCGGCTACCACTCGGTATATTAACGCGTAGTGGTATACGAGCTTCGCCCGGCACATTAGGGTGCGCTATGTATCTACGGCTATACTCACTTTTCCTCGCGCGCAAGTAAAAACGAGCAATTGTATTTTGGGAATTTAGCATACGAGCTAAATCGCTCATTTCTTTCGAGGGCACGAGCGCGATATGGATATCCTCTAGCTCGCGCCTCCGTGTTTGGCATCGAGTCTCGTGTGCGTATTTAAGTATGATCATTATGGGCGCGCAAAATGTTTCACGCGCAATTCCTTTCGCTCTCTTCGTCTCTCGCGCGTAAGATTCGACACGTATAAAGATGATATTTATACGTCACGCGCACGGATCCAGGTTCTACGTAAAATTGGCGACTTTTTCGTTTACGTATATACCGACCGCGTCGCGGGGAACTGTACTCCGATTCTCCACATTTCTCTGCATATAACGTCGCGCGCGCGCGCAACGGCATCGCGGTATAATACGTATCTACACCGAGAGTATTATAACATAACGTGTAATACATAACGAAAGACGGGGAGCAAAAGGAGGAGGAGGAGAAGAAAAAAAAATTATTGCATCCCAAGTCTTCTTATACTGCTATATACCTACGAGAGGCGCAGATTCTTATCCGTAGGTGCATTTAACTACTATTGCGGTCGCTCTTCTAGTGGTAGTAGCAGTGCAGGCCGTACTTTGCGCGCGCGAGGCAAAGTGTATTATACATATACAGGTAGGTACGCGTGTAGGGAGTGTATATAAAGTACCGCCCGTTGCATGATGCAGCGTTGCACCGAGTTTGCAAAAAGAGCCTTGAGTCTTGTGCTGCTGCTGTTGCCTGCGTGATGTGTATGTATATATAAAGGATAGAAGAGGAGGCAGCACTGGAGGTGCTGCGCACAGGCTGTATATAGCTTGGCCTACGCCTCGTCGTCGTCGTCGTCGTCGTCGTAGCACGCGCGCTCATGTGAATATCCTTTCGCGCAGAGTAGTCCTTTTTTTTCTCTCTCTCGTTCGCTCAACTTGCGCACATCCTATACGGAATATCTTCAGGGATAGAGAGAGAGCGAGAACCTGTATATGTGTGCGTTTTCACTTGATTATCGCACGCACAGACGCACGCCTATGTATATGTATATATTATAATGCAGTGCAGTGTAGCGAATGTGGCACCTGCACACATACACATACGCACGAGATGATGGGAAACAAGCTTGCGACTCGTTTTTCGCGCGGATCGGCTTCTAATTTTCCGGGATATATATTTTTATATACAACGTAGTAGTGCGTATACGCGTGCCTCGTCGATGTTGATGCGCCTGTACGTGAGTTGCTGCTGCAGATCGACGTGCTTGAAACGTATAGCGAGCAGCGGCATATTATTCTAATGAATCTCTCTCTTTCTAGGCGAGGCTTACGCAATTTGCGCGAGATTTGTTATTTTTCCAAGCAAGAATTACGAGTTTGGTCTCTGCTGCTGCTGCTGCCGAGGCTGTGTACATTGGATTCAATATCCCGATGAGCTTGCCTCCGACTAATCTTAGCTTACCCGACACCTATAAGCTATTTTCGCGACGAGTCTCGATAAAGCAGCAGCTCAAAAGTGCATAATTCTTGTTTATATTATGAATGCGCCACTGCTGCTGCTACGTTAAGTCGCTGAGGCTTTAAATTTTAAAGCTAATATCCGCGTACGCTTTAGTCGGAAAAGCTCATTGTTTACCCCAATATAATCGAACTTGCCTATTCGTCGCGTACACGTGACTTTTTGTCGAATTTAATATATGCCGGGTTATTCGTATCGGAGAGCTCGAGATACGATGGGTGTGTATTGTAAACAAGAGCCGAACTGTCAACTGTCAAAAATACCAACGATTTTCTATAGTATCGTATGCGTCTCTCTCGAGATTGCGTAATGTCTCTCTGGTCAGGCTCGCGGAAAATTACACACGCGCTCGCGAACCTGCTATGGATATTTCCAACCGGCTTCGGCATATAGCGGATCATCCCTGCGCGCGCGCGTGATTTATCAATTTCCATGCTGGGACGCGCGCGCGTCGAATGCAAATAAGGACAAAATTTTATGCGCTCGTGGCATGCCATGCTGTTATACTAGCAGCGGAATACGAAGGAAAAATATACACACGATAGCCGAAGCAATCTGGATTCTTTGGCTTCTCGCGATGGATGGATGGGCAGATGTATGTGTATGTGTGTGTCTGTGTAAAATGTATATACGATTCTTCCTATTAATACGAAAAACGACTACCGGATACGATGTGTGCTGTAGATAAACGCGCGCGTATACGTCTGCTGCTACTTTTGCTTTGTATTACACTGCACATGTGTTTATACGAAAATTTGTTCTGCTTCTGTGTTTGTCAGAAAATTATATTGCAAGCTGTTCGTTATATAGGAGTCAAAAGACTTGTGTGCATCGTTAGTATAGTTGCGGCGGCCTTACCGCCTACGAAAAATCCGCGCGCGAGTCTCTCTCTCTCGCGTGCTCCGAATGTTTACTCAAAAAGTACTCGAGTGAGTATGAGTGAGAGAGAGAATCTATCTTTAAACACTCGCAAATACTACTTATAACAACGAGAGAGAGAGAGAGAGAGAAGAAGAAGAGGAGGATAAAAAAAAGAGAACAGACATCCGCATTTGCGTGCGTTGCTACTGCGTGTTTTTGCGTATAAGTATACAATGTGTGGTGCGTTGTAATATGGCAAGTATTTATACGCGTATCATTAGGTATGCTCGCAACCCTTTGCGTGCCGCCGAGACATCGTACAGAATATAACGTATAGGCATTAGCAAAATTGGTCGGGAAAACTTTGTTTTTTTTCGCGTGCGTGGCTGTACCTAATACCATAATAATATGGCCCCAACGACGACGAACTCTTATCTCATTCTTATAATAAAAAGTATACAAATGCGAGAGCAACGACGATGATAGTACAGGGCAGCAGTGTGACAGCACATCGTGATATAACAAAGCCCCGTGTCTCTGTCTCGATATATTTATAGTACCCAGAGAATAGTGTGTCAGAAACTGGATAAAACGGCGAAAAAAAAGAGAAAGTCTCTCGTCAAGTGTGCTCCGTTGTCTATACGGTTCGTGTGTGTGTTATAGCGTATATAGAGGATAGATGTAGAGCAAAACGCGGAAAGTTAAACTGCCGATGTGTAAAATCGTGGCGGCTTCTATATACAGCTGAGCATGTGTGCGTGTGTGTGTGTAATGCAGCCTATATTATGTGCGAACCCATAATGCGCCGAAGCAGCTCGAGATCGGCGACTTTAACTCGGACGTACATACGTGAAACACTTTGCGCTTGTGCGCGTGCATGTGCGAGCGAGATCGTAATGCTGCGTGCATGCATATACTTAGTTATGAAATGTCTCTGCTGCTGCTGCGTATCTTTCCTTTTTTTTCGCTCTCTTACTCTCTGTCGTGATGTAAATCGGAGAGCCCTTGGGGAGGAGTGACGTATGAAATGATCGGGTATCGAGTTGCAGGCCAATTATCGTCGAAACAAAAATGTACAAATTGAAAAAAAAAAAGAAACCGAGAGCGAAATAAAAAGGAGCAGCAGCGGCAGCATCATCTTCTGCTGCTGTCACTCGGCGACCATGTATACGCAGGGTAGGGCGCGTTATCTCGAGCTGCTGCACCACACGGTGCAACACATACACGGGCAAATGTTTATACGTACAAGTGTGCGTGTATTATATAGTCGATTTTTCGTTCGTTCGCTCATCTAAGTCTTGTGTAACGGGAAATTCGCGGCGCGGCGGCGGCGGTCTCACTCGCTATATAGGTTCTCTGCTAGGCTCGCTGCCTTCTTAAGACACACGGCCGAGTATATATACGGCATGTGAATAATATATATATACGGATACATATATATACACAACACAACATACACACCCGTAATCCGTGTATAAAGTCCGTAGAGCACACACACATGTATAGAGTCAGTTCGCGTGTATGTATGTGGGCTCATGGCTGCGAGCGTATATAACCCTGTATCTGCATCGTTTTCATCGTTATAATCAGCATCATGGCCGTCTGTATAGTAGTAGTTTGCCGTGCACGTTGTAGAATACATATAGATTGGCGCGAATAAAAAAACAACAGCGCTCGCCGCCTCTCGATCTCTGCGCGTTAGAGAGAGAGAGAACTGCGCTTATGCGTGTGTAAAGTTCTTTTATTTTTACTTCGTCGCGTTTTAACCACTATACACGTATAATTCTGCATGCGAGATCGAGCGAGAGAAGAAACTTACCATGCGTACAAAGGAGACGAAGAAGCGAGTACCAAAATCGGATGCGAGTCGCGCGTTGTTGTTGCGTGCTTGCTGCGCGCTGGATGGTAAGAGCGTGACCTGCACACGGCCAGCCACTACTCAACTATATATCGCTCGTGTGTATGTATAGAGAAAATATACTAACAGTGCAGCGATATCGCCGATGCCCGAGGAAGAGATCTCTCGACTCTATATCGAACGAAGGAACACCGTATCAACTTTCAATTTCATCAACTGTGCGTCTTCGTGCGGGTGTCTCTCTGTTCTTTGGCTCCTCCGAGAGATTTTTGCGTCACGATATCTTGTATTTGTATCGTCGTTGTTGTTGCTGCACATACACGAGCGTTTGAAGGAAGCGATATTTATGATAAAAAAAGGCACTCGAAGCACTAACTTGTATACACACTTGATATTATTTCTCGTAGACAATAGTTTGTCTGAGGCAGCGACCAAAAAAAATCTGCACTTTGATTCACGCAGTTTTGGTTGGTAAAATTCGGAGCTCGATATACTCGATCGAGAGCGGCTTACACAGATCACGGATTGAAATTCGTTCACAAACCGTTACACACACGTATCGAAAAAAAACAAGAATACGAAGAGGCCCGCGATCGACGTATCTATAAAAATATACAAAGCCCCGCTTATACTTTATTTGTATATCTTTGATGTACACAAAATCGGGGAGAGTATAAGCTCGGCTCGCGGAGCGCACGCTACAAAACCGTATGTATAGCCGTGCGCCTCTGTATATAGGAGAGAGAGAGCGCGGGTTCAGCGCCCGACTGAAGCGGAGGATACAATCGGCTGTCGCCACCACCGGAGTATAGCGGCCGAACGCCGAGCCGAACGCCGAGCGCCGAGCGGCTTTGCTGCTGCTGTGCTCTTACCACCACTTCTAATACGCCATGGTCATCGTCGTCCTCCTCTCTTTTCTACCTTTCTCTCTCTCTTGCTCTCTCACGCGAAGCTCACACACATACATACACGCACACACAGTGGGACCCTTTGAATTACAGTCTCCGGCCTCCACTGCCGCTGCTCAGGCATTTTTAAACTCCCCACCGGAGTTTCTCGCACACCAGTGCACCGACTCCCGGCTCTCGGCAGCAGCAGCAGTGCCTACTATATATACCACCACACAATGCGCCGAGAACGTCTGCATGCGGAGATATATACACGAGAGTGTGTATCTATATGTGTGTGTGAGTGAGTCCACCTGCATGAACTGCTCACACTTACACACACGCACGAACGTACGCCAGTGTAATGCACACCACCACCAGCTGTGTGTGCTGTTGCGGGGCGGCCTGCCAATACGCACACATACACACACACTCATGTGTAAGTGAGAGAGACCACGAGCGAGCACAAAGCCGCTGCGCGCGCATATATAGGTACACAGTACACACACACTGCAGAGCGCACGCAAACTCGTATTGCAACTTTTAACGCTTGCCGAGAATTAAAGACTCTACGTTGGAGTAGACTCGCGCGCGAGGCCTGTATATAGTGTATACTGAAACTGCTGAGGATATACTACTCTACCTATACTTTGTCTGTGTGTGTATGTATCTGACGATTCGTCTATATGCGTGTGTCTGTGTCTGTGTCTGTGTGTATATGCATGGAAGGACACCTTATCAGTCTCACGGCAGGCCTCGCGCGAGCTTATACATTTATGCTCCCGAAGCCCAAACGGATTGCTCCGCGCTCGCGAGCAACGGCCCCCGAGAGATTAACGTGTTTATACCTACACCAGAGCTTCGACTCCGACTTTAACGCGTATTTTTATACACGTATTATAAAACTTGGAATCGTTGCATGGAATTCCACATGTCTATGAGGAAGAGCTTATCAATGACGAACGAACAAAAAAAAAAGGAAAAACGAACGAATCTTACACGAGAGCAAACGTGATTTCAACTGGGAAATTTTTGCTCGTCCGATTCATCTCTCGATCGACGCCACTGCCGCGGGTGATAATACGTTTTGAATGACGTATCGAACTGGCGCGCGCGAGAGATTGACAATTGCACTTCAGCAGCTCTGAGGCTGTCACGCGAGACTTCGATAATAAAAACACAGCTCAGCTCTGCTGCGGTGCTGAATTTTCGGAATCTAGCTTCCGTCCGTCAATACGTCCGCGTTGACGTTCTTTTTTTTTCGTGTTGCGGAATAGACGAGTGATAAGCGCGCGGAAACCGATTTTTCGATTCGAGACGTACCGATAATTCGTTTTATTACCAAAAAAATTCGTGAGATTTTATTTTCCTCTTTAAGAAAAAAGACGCATTCGGTATACTTTACGGAAAAGTTACAGTTGTCAACCTCAAGCATTGGCATTGACGAGGGCTCGCAAGTTGATGAATCACCATGTAAAATATTATTTTTTGAAATGAAAATTTAGTGATACTAATACTGCAACTATTTTATTCAAGTAAAGTGTTTCGAAGCTATCAATGTTTGAATGATTTCCAAAGGTTTGAAAAAGAATAAAGTTTTTAAAGGAGGGACACTGCTGCGCATTCGTCGATGATTTAATAGATGGAATAATATGTTATAATAATTGAAGAATTATGAAGTACGTTCTACCTTTATTGTATCAATTTTTAAAAGAAAAACTATTATGCGTTTCATTACAACTCTTTTCCACGTGTTAATAAAAAAAATACTATGCAGTTCATACTATGACTCGCGAGATATTTAGACCTGTCACCGCTAGGTGACGCACGACTATGAAAATGAAACCTACAAAAGAAACAAGCGAGTTGATGGAATATGTATATTAATAGCAAAAACCGATCTAGATGTACTACCGTTTGCTCATTATCATTGTTGATTATTGTTGATGTTTAAAATAGCTATAATAATAGCTAAAATTCGTGTTATGCTCAAGTTGCGTATACATGTATAGCTGCAGCAGGTGTATTCGTGTTGCCTAGCATCAGGCCCGCTATAGCGCTGTTGTAAAGGCTGGCGGCAGTCGCAACTCGCAACGCGATACAAGCTCGGAGCAAAGTCAGATTGACCGGAGTAGCGAGTCAGAGCGCACTCTTGCTCCTCGACACAGCACATACAATAAATTGTTAACCTTTTTTTACTTTTATTCTACTTGACCAAGTATGTACTTTATTTCAAGTAATCTTTCCCTCTCTGCCACCTGACAACTATAACATTTGGATAATACTTTTGTATTATATTTTTTTCCTATAAATTAAATCGATTCAGTTCACTCATGTGTGTGTTCACAATTGGGTGATATAGTCTGGGCGCTGGTGACATTTGAGTGAACTTGCGAGATCCCTTAGGCGAGTTGACGGATTTCTATGTTTTTTGGGTCGCTGAAACTGAATTTGAATTCCGGCCGAATTCCTGGTCAATTTTTTGCTATAAACAAATTAATTGTTTAAACGGCCATATCTTGTAAAATATTGAAGATAGATTAAAACAATTTTGTTTTTATTTTATTTGTCTTTAAAAAACGAAGAGATTAAATTAAATTAATTGAAAATCCGTCCTCTAGAAAAATAGCTATGCAATAACTAGGACAAAATTACTAGAAATACGTCCTTTTTTATCTTTCAACCTCAGTAACTTGACCCGTATTAGTGCGATCGAGCTCATCGACATCTCATTTCGAAGGTAATAACCTATACAATCATGTAGCATAATTTGTATGTAAGTAAAATTGTTTATAATGCAGTTTGTAGACGTTTATAAACGTAATTTTATGGCTTTGACGTACTTTCCATTTGTTTATACGCGTTTTTCGCTGAGATAAATTATTATAACAACGTGGCAACTCAGTTCAAATGAAAGTACATCAAAAAACGAAAATTTTAAGCTGTTTTGAAAGGTAATTCGTCAAGTAGACGCCAAGTTACAGCCTTCTGAGCTTGGTTCATGAGTTCATGTTGCCTCAGTGTGCGCGCTCTAAGCGCTCGCTCGTTTCTATGCTCAAACTCAGAAGGCTGTAAGCCAGGAGCGTATCATTTGGCACAGCCATTGCTTTTGACACGTTCTCTCATGGGAAAGAGCTGAAAAAATACTCGGGTTAAGCCCGTAAGATTTAAGGTAAGAGCGGGCCTCCGTTCGGCTCTCTCCAGATAGAGTCGGCAACTCCCAGCCGAAGCGCGAGCGAGCTGCCTGATTGGTCGGGCACATGAAATGGAGTAGTGCCATCGCTTATAACGTGTTCTCTTAAAGAAACTCGGCATTTTTCGCTCTATAAATAATAATTAGAGTTCGGTTCAGTAAATTTTTTATTGGCATTTGAATTATACATTATGAATCACAATTAGATTGGTAAGCTGGACGGTGGCTCCCTCGCTCATACAACCGGCCAATAAAGCAACCGAGAGAAGCGTCACTGCGCATGTATGAAGATCGCCACGTGTTTGGGAAATTGGGATTCCAAAAAACTTTCTCTGGATACTCAGTCTGTGTTTTTCAGTTCGAGCGAGAACATATCACGATTAGTCCGTCTTTATCAAGAGCAATTGACACGTTCTATCAATTGTTCAGTGTTGAAATCTACCATCATCAGACTTGACTTTATTACGTTCCAAAATGACGTCAGTAGATTTCAACGAATGTATAACGCGCTTTAAAAATACTCTAAGAAAATACAAAAATGAAGCAGTGCGGTGTCAAGTGTTTTTTACAAATTTCGTGCAATTTTTTGCAATGGACGACAGGATCTTTAGGAGGGTTGGTAGGATGATGATAACAGATCAAACCTTATTTACGAGCAAAGAAAATTTTCTCATCTTAGCGTTGCGACTGAAGCAAGCTCAAATGGTGAAATTTCTTCAAGAGGAGATCGATTTGAAAATCCACGAGTTCAGATTCAAAGATGGACGATCGGCGCTTCACTATTTACTCAATGAAAATACATTCAGCCCAAGATACGACGTCGGTGGCAAGATGGTCAAACGAGTCGTGGACTATTTTTTGGAAGATTCAGTGGAAAATCACCAAGACGCTCATGGTTACACGTACTTTCACGCGGCCTGTATGACGGGCAACGTGGCTAAAGTGAAGCGATTCTTGGAACTAGGTGTAGACGTCAATATCTCGACGTACACGTGCTCCCCACTGCACATCGCGGCTCAGTACCGTCAGACGGACGTCGTGAAGGTTTTACTGGAGAAAGGAACCGATCCGAATAGTTTAGAGAGCAATAATCAGTCGAGGCCTCTGCACGCCCTGTCGTGGCCGCGCTGGTGCATGTGCAAATGCAATCATTATTGTCATTCCTGCGAAGAAAATAAACCGGCCTTCGAGATCGTCGTCGAGCTCGTCGAGAGAGGAGCAGATTTAGAGGCACGAGATATTCACGGGGACACTCCACTACAGGCGGCGGTGTCGTGTTTCGACCTGGAGCTCACTAGAGCGATTCTGAAGCTCGGCGCGAGTTTAGGCGGTTTGAACGAGGACCGCATGTTTGCCAGGCATTTTGAAATACGCGATTTGAAGTATCGTCCTTTGACTTTGAACTTGATCGAGGTAGTGGAGTTTTTGCAGTCAGCCGGATTCAAAATGGATTTCGCCACTAGACTTAAGATGATACGTTGTTGGATGAGAGTTCGGGGCAATGGAGCCGATCATTTACTGCCCATCTATGTTACTGAAAGCAATCGACATTTATTAGTTCATTTTTTTATTTATTTTTACATGGAACTTAAACCTTACGATTACTTGTGGTCGGAAATGAGAAGATTGAAAGTAGGAAAATATTTCGGTCTCCATAAAATCCCACTAGGTTTCCTCGATGAAATAAGCCCGGAAACTGCACAGTTGAAGAGCATCATGCTGAACGAAAAAGTCTCGCTCCACGAAATTTGCCGAATGAGCTACGACAAGGGTTACTCGATTTTAAAAAAAATCAAGAATTTCCAGTTACCGCAACAGCTGCAAGACTTGACTCTCTCCCAGCTCCTTGTGAAAAGACATTGGGCGGATATTTTGATTAGACCACATTTGGAATTGGCAGTAGCCGATCTTTTTATGAACGATGAGTGTAAATTAAATTTGCCATACGTAGTTTGTCGTGAAATTGCCGCAAATATGAGCCACGAGGATTTATTACGTTTGTGCGAGAAGGCGTACGAAGAGGATGCAGTACAGCCATTGCCAAAAAGACGACGGCTGCGTTGAAAAAAATTGTAATAAAAAATAGTTTTAATAAAAAAATTTTAATGAAAAAAAGTTTAAATTTCAACGAGTTGTTTTTATTTTTACGCACTTGAACTTAGAAATATTGACTTTTGACATCATATAATTGGGTTGTGAATACAATTTTCCAAGAATTTAAATGCATCAGCTATATATTCGAAATAACACAATGCTCTGACGCTACAGTGGAAAATAAGTTTTTCCCACTCTAACCTAAAATACGCAACTTTGCCGCTAATTTTAGGCTCTGGTAGGAAAAAATAGTATCTCAAACTGGTGCAGATATGGTTTTTTAACAAAACTCGTTACAGCACTCGCCTTCGGCTCGTGCTATAATCCCTCGTCTTGCTAAAAAACCATATGTGCACCCGTTGAGAAATATACTATTTCTATATAGAAGGTCCATGCCCCACATTAAAATTTAAATTTTCGATTTTCGAAATTTTCTTAAACATGTACTGAAAAATTGAATTTTGCGGTAAAATTTTCAAAAGCTATATCCTGTAAAAGAATAGTAAATTTTGCCCCTAGGGAGTGAAAAACTGGAAAGTCCCAGAGCACGTGAAATTCATCAGCCAGGGTGAAGCATAAGTGCAAATAAACTTTTTTGTGAATCCTCCAGCCTAAAGTAATATTTTGATTTTGCTCAGCGGGAGTGTTTACTTTAGGTTGAGGTCTCACAAAAAAAATCGTTGGCAAAAATGTAACCTTCTGAATGAGTTCTTACACTTGATCCAAAATATCTAGTAATTTGTCTAAAATAAGTTTTAAAGCTAAAGAATGCGAATTGCCTAGTTTTCGACCACTCTACTGAATCATCAATTACATGAACCTAAAACATGCTTATAATTTTATGTATGAAGACTTGATGAATTTTAAATAAACATACCTGTTTTGAAGTGCGTAAAGAACCTATTTTGGTTCTTAAAAATTGAATCGATACATTTATCTGAAAATGATTAAATTTCATTGAAGGTGGTTGTGTACTAACTTTTTTTATTGAGTAGTCCAGTATTTAACCAGGGTCGACCAGGGTAGAGTTTAAGATCACATAAAAAAAGATTTGACAATTTAAAAGTGCAGCTTTAATTTTCTTTTGAATATGTAATATTTAAAGAATAATAATTAAAATATAATTATAACGCAGAGAACATTTTTTTCATTATTTATTTAAATAATAGCTCACAAAAAATTTACCCTATTCATAGTTCAACAGAATATAGTTGTATAGATTTTCATAATGAATACCACTTTTAGTTGATCATCGTTGTAATTTCTAAACATCATTTCTTAAGCACGATATCAATTTTCAGTAAAAAAACTGACGAAAAATAAGTATGTTCGCCACTCCACGATCTGTACTTAGTTCATACTTGGCGCCTCCTCTTGGAGTAGACGTTTACGCATGTGCCTGCACCTTGGCATGTGTATCCAAGATGGCGGCTTATCAAGCTCGTAGTGTTGTGAAACTCATGTATACAGTTATATAGACACAGTACATAGGCACATATGTAGACGTTTTACGAAGTCGTGCTTCGGAGTCTGCGTTTCATTTGTCGCGAAATTTCCAGTTTTCCAAGCCTCGGTGGATTCACTGCGAAATCGAGGGCAAAAAAAAATACGACGCTGCTCTTCTGGGACGAGGCTCGTATAGGAAAATCCGGCAAAAGCGAGAATGATCGATCCAGTGAGTTATTTTTTTTTCTTGGCTTGACGTTTCTGTGCTCGGAGCACAAGCGAAAGTGTCTTGTGTGTACGTTGCCTTTTGTTTTTTACATCGCGGCTTCCAAGGCATTGTCCTCCTACACGAAACTAGCTTACGATTGTCGCGAGTAGGCGAGTCGTTTGATGATTTTTAGAGCCTTCGAATCTCGAATTCGATGGTAATTTTGTGAAACTACATTGGAGTACGCGAGGCTCCAACTTAGAGCCATATTCGATGCGCTGCTGCAGCGAGCCATGCAGCGTTTCATCTGTTTCTCGGTTTGTTTCTACGATAGCTGCGCTCCTTTTTTGTTCCAAAGTGTCTTGAATCAAGTTATTTTCACCCGACTCCGAATGGTTTTATGTAATTCGATATTTGCTAGGCTTTATCTACGCACGGCTACGCTCCTCCTTTCCATTCTTAATCTATATTTATCTTTAGCTAATTCGAGCAATAACTAAAATTCGAACCAATGCAGTAGTTATCGATAAGTAAGTAACCAACAAAACTCCCCTAAAAGTCGGAAAAAATTTTTGGTGAGTTTGATTTTTCCTCTTTGTCTCAGTGTAAACACTGGAAGCTCTTTAAACACGCTCTTTAAATTCATATAATATAAGGTTAGATTAGATGCGCAATGGGTAATGAGTTGACTGTGCCCGTCTGTGTGGTCAATTATGGTTATTTCAGGCTAAAAAACTAAAGAATGCTTGTAATGTTTTTGTAAAAACGTCATTGTATCGATACGTAGAAAAAAAATTAAACTCTGTTGATCGTTAATTCTAATTAGCATCTGTGTGAATGACTAATAAATATGTATCTTGTTATGCAAAGTTTTTCAAAAATTTTGATCCACTTCTTTTTTGTTTATGTCAAAGGTTACTACTTTATGTTGAGAGTTGTTGAATACGGACTCACTGCTATGCATTCGCTGAATGCACACTCATCAGTAAAGTTTGTGTGACACTGGAAATCTACAGTAATTATGCAGATACATACTCAGCGATCCTGATATAAAAAGCAAAAAGAAAGAATTTTCAATTTGAAATATCTTTCTGCTTTGAAGAAGCAATTCAAGAACTGTATTTGGGCAACTGCAATCTAAAAGAATCTGTGCAATGGCTGAAACACAGCGCAAGTCCACCTATGGAGCACATCCTCCTTGTGCTAAATCTTCTCGCCTTGATGACAGGCGTTCCAAAAAGTAAGCAAGCAAGATGTTTTAATAATTCTTTGTGCTTACTGCTAAATACAAATTATATTAATACCTTTTTATTCTTACAGACTTGCAATGCTTTTGGAAAAAAATAGAAAATCAGAGAAGCCAGATGATTTTGTATGCTATGAATCAAGTGACGATGAGGAAGATACAGAGATGGATTCCTACCAATACTTGAAAACTTCGTTTAATTTTGTTGATTATGTAAGATCTCGAGAAAGTAATGCAAATGAAATTCGAAAAGTGAATAAGGAATTTGGTTCTCGACACATATTAAGCCATGATCTCTTTAAAGAATATTCAATAAGTTTAAATAATATGAACAAAGTTTTTTGTTCTCAATGGCTTAGTGACAGACAAGTTGTTTTTGGTACTAAATGCAATAAGTTGATGGTCTATGATGTAGCAACGCAAAAATTGGATCAAATACCATCTCTTAGCGGTAGAAATAATTCTACAAGTGGAATGGGTAATGTACAAGATCAACAGTGTGGTATACACTCTGTACAAATTAACCCATCTAGGTGTGTAATATTTTTGATAAAAACCACAGAAAATTACTTTGCAATTTAAATTCTTATGAAATTTAATTCTAACAGAACCCTCTTAGCTACTGGTGGACGAAATAGTAATGAAGTAGCTGTTTATAGATTACCAACATTGGATCCTGTGTGTATCGGGGAATCTGCCCATCGTGACTGGGTGTACGATATGTGTTGGTTAGATGACGAGTTCTTAGTTTCAGGTTCTAAAGACACAAAAATGGCTTTGTGGCAAATTGATCAAGAAGTATCAGCTGCTTCAGAAAAAGCTGATGTTCCATCACATAGGTATTTATTTGATAATTTTTCTTTTGATTTTTTTAATTAAACACTTCAATTACAAATTATTCATTTTTATTCCCTCAGATTGATTCAACCTATATGCATTAAAGAATGTAAATCAGCACAAAAAGTACGATCATTACTTTTTAACAAAGCCTACAAAGAAATTGCAGTTTTGTCTATGAACAGTTACATTCATATCTGGTCAGCAGAATCATTCAGGCAAAAAATTTCAAGAAAGTTACCTGCTTGTCAAGATAATGTTTGCTTGGCTGTGCACGAAGAGGGCTTGTATGCAGTGGGTTGCCGTTCTTACACACTTTTACTTGATGCAAGAACATTGCAACCTATAAAAAAAGTACCTTCGAGGTAAATTGTTTGTAAAAACGTTTTTTTCCTATCAAACATTTTATTTAAAAATTTTATTTCTTGTTTCAACAGGTATAGCGGGTGTGGTATTAGATCAGCTAGTTTCCAAGGCTCTGTTTTAACAATTGGCACCGGTCTTGGAATGTTGATGTTTTACGATATTCGGGCACAAAAGTATCTTGAATCATCTATTAATTCAAATAGGACCGTGATGTTGAAGGCTTCCAAGGGTTACGTGGTAAGTATTTTATTGATGTAGTATTTTTGAGATGAGTATTTCATATTATCAGATGCGAGCATGAGATAACTTTTAAATTCAGTTTCCAGATGAAGATTACATTGATGGATTCCATAATGTAAAATACACTCCTGCCATTTACACGCATTGCTACGATGCATCAGGAACGCGTCTTTTCTGCGCGGGCGGCCCTCTTCCAACAAATTTATATGGAAACTATGCAGGACTGTGGCAATAAGTATATTGTAAACCTTATACAATTAAATAATAAGATCCATCACCTCAGTTCTATATTTTGATATGCATTTATCAACAAATTAGGCTTTTCAAAATGATTGTAAAAATTAGTTATCCGTTTAAATTCTAAATTCATAATTTTGTGCATTCGCCGCCATTGATTTATACAGAAAATGTTAAATGCCATAATCTTTTAATTTTTGAAAGAAAAGCTCAAATTATTTTAGAATGAAAATCGGATCTAAAATCTGATAATAATTAATTTTCATTGTCAAAACTTGAATCATTAGATAGTTAGAGTACATAAATTGTGTTTAACGGAACTAAACCGAAAAAGTATCAGGTAGCGTGTAATCCACGTACAGAACAAATCCGAGGTTGGCGAATATGTGCACTGTTGTGTGTATTTTTTGTAGCCTAGATAAGTTTACTATATTTCGTTGAGTAGTTTAAAAAGTACCCTTCATTTATGGTAAGCTTTGAAAAAATTAACATCGGAGCTACAATCATAAAAATTGTTTTATGAAATTGACTGTAAGACTTTAAAAGAACAGTGGAAAACTTTTAGTTTAAGTACCATTGTATGTCTATGTGCATAATCTAAACGTTAGGTTAATTTGTACTATTATATTTTAATTCGTTAAAATTTTCATATAAAGTACTAGGGAATTCTTATTTAGAGTGTACTAAATAATTGAGTAATATAGTGTATCCATAGTCAAAATAAATTCACCAGAAGACTTGAAAGACCACACGCCATCAACTTTGAGAAATTGAAAAAAAAGAAACTCTTGTTGATGGAAATGATAACGCAATAGATTTGTTTCAAGTCTTTTTGTGATTCATTGATTGTAATAGCAAGACTAATAGGATGCGTAAACTGTGATTGTGTAAATGTGTTTTGATAGCGTGCAATGAAATCGTTTGTTTTGTTCATCTCGAAATATGTAAAAAAAAAGAAGTAAGTTTTAGTAAAATATCATAGTATTAATGAATGTAGTTCATAAACATATAGGGCGTGAAAATTACAAGTCATGAACTCGTTAGGATGTTATGTACCAATATTTGAAAAGAGATAAAATTTTGAATAATTAAGTTATTATGGAAATTTGGAAAACTTTTTCAAAATTATGACGTTCAGGATAATAAATATTTTTTGTTTATTCGTGTTCATGCAATAGTATAGTAATTCAATTGGTTTACATGTACAAAAATGTGCATTTTTGTAAACATGATATGTTTTTATTTAGAAAATTTTCGTTACGTAGTTGTAGAATTATTTTTATACATTATGTACGTTTTACAAATTTTCTTTCAAGAAACGTTTACAGCCGTTCATAAAATTGTGAAGTAAATCGTGACACTTGATTTCAAACACTTAACGATTCAAGAAATTTATTTGTAAAAATCATTTATTTTTTACCAATCTAAACAATATTCCAACCACGCTAAAATGTATTTACATCTCAAATTAAAGAATTCATTAACTTAGTGTAATGAACATTCTACTAATGCATCACACGAGAGTCTATTTTGAAGTCTGAAAACTGCGCTCATTGATTTTTCATCGCATAGTTTGAATTGATCCCAGTTTTGATTTTTATAAGCAAAAACTACTGATTGTTTGCAATTATATGCACGATTCATACGATGTATTCATTAATTGAACAAAACAACAATAAAGACTGGTAACTATAATATTAATCGTTGAGCGAGTAATTAATAATAAAAAAAGAAAATGAATCATGCAAAAAAAAAGGAAAATAGAAATGAATTGTAACTCGATATCATATATGTATCGAGTGAAAAAAATCATGTACATTTGATGATGAATTTTATGAAGAGATGAAATAACTATTCGTATGTCAAAAATTTATAACCAATTAACGACTATTTGCGCCATTTGATTTCAACTTTTCATGTACTCGAATAATTGAAAGATTGTGTTAGGTAATTGCCATTGTATTGTCTCGATAGAATTGAAGCGTGTGTGTGACAAATCGTGATCGATTCGAAATTACTAATATCACCAGATTATGTATTACTTGAATTAGAAATGTAATCGTATCGCTCTTACTGACAGATACAATTGTGTAAATAAATTTGGAACAAAAAATTATCAACAGTGATCTCTTATTAATAAAAGTATGCAATCGAATTTTCTAACAAATGTTTATTGTTTTTTAATTAATTATACAACATGTATATATCCAATTGTACAAAAAAATACAATTCTTTTTTACAAAAAAATATTCTTTAGGATAAAAATGATTATTTGTTGAAATTGTTCAGTGGTTTTTAATACTGGTTCATGTATTCCTATTTTACAATGTACCTCGTTCACAGGTTCAATTCATAAATTAATTATCTTTTTGAAAAAAAATTCAAACCACATTACACATTTGAACATAAAATTTTGGAATATAAAAACATTAATATAATATAATATTTAATATATTAATATAATATAAATATTAATAATTGTTTCCAATCCATCACAAGTATAAAGCAAGTTAAAAAGCATAACGTCGTGATAAAATATTATCAAGCGTTACGCGGTTCGCCTATTACGACTTTGGTAAAGCTCCGAGTATTGGGCTAACTCTTTACAAATTTCGCCCAGTGTTTTATTTTATTTAACACAGGCGTTGTCTCTTTCTCGGCGGCTGCCCTACGCCCTCCTCGCTCGTCTCGTCGCACCAACGGAACAAATCCTCGTCGCTCATCAATTCGGCGACCTTACGGCACGCGGTGTACGGCAAACTCAAGTTCAAGTGATCGGACATGAAGAGATCCGCCGCGAACAGCTCCAGCTCCGACCTTATCATGATGTTGGCGACGTGCCTCTTGACGAAAACGTGGATCAGGTAGCCGTTGCACGAGATATCTTCCATGGCTGGGCAGCGCCAGTCCCTCATATTTTTCAATATCTTGTGACCCTGGCTGTAGCTCATCTGGCACAGTTGATAGAGCGAGACCCTCTCGTTCAACTTGATGAATTTCATGTAGTCGATCTCCCTCGTCCATATCTTCTTGAAGCACGACTCGGGCTCGTAGTCGTCGTTGCGGTAAGGCGCAGCCTTCACAGTGTACCTGTGGATTTGTTCGTAAAGGTGACGCAAAGCTTTGTCGTCAAAGTAAAAGTCGTACTCGTCGTGCAGATACAATATTCTCTTGTACTGGTTCAAGATGCTCAGAGCTCGATCGGCGTCGTTGTCTGTAAATGAAGAAAGTAATCGTGAGTCAGGACTGTTATTTTATGGAAAGAATATATTATAAATAAATAAATCGACGTACCATAGAGACCAGAGATGCAATGATCGATATCGTTTCCTCTCGCCCTTATCCAATACTTCATCATTCTCAGCGAGGTGGAAATGTTCATTCTGAAATCGGCCGAGATGAGCGATCGCGTCGCCTCGATCAGGTTCAACGTCACGGGATAATTCTGCGCCGGCAGCCGGCAGAACTTGCCGCGGAACATCCTGTCCTGGTCGAGATTGCTGACTGTGGCGTCGTGCCGCAGCAGCGCCCGCACCAGCTCCGTGTCGAAGACCCTCATGGCCGACTGCAGCGGAGTGTCCCGGTGACAGTCGCGCGCCTCCACGTTGGCTCCGTAATTGACGAGCAGTCGAATTATCTCGTCGCAGGGTCGCCTACGGTCGCAGAACGAGTTGCTCGACACGCAGTCGCACAGGCTGAGTCTCGCGAGGGCGTGAAGCGGCGTCGCGAGCTCCTCGTCCTGCTTGTTCGGGTCGGCCCCTTTCTCTAGCAGGAGCTTTACCACGTCCTCGTGACGGTAGCGAACGGCCAGATGTAACGGCGAACAGCTGTAGGTGTCGATATTGACGTCGACGCCGGCTTGGTTCAATAGTAAGTTCACCGCCGCTATGTTGCCGGTCATGCAAGCCCCGTGCAAGTAAGTAAAGCCGAACCTGTCCGGGTAATTTTTCCTCGGATTATTCAAGAGGTAATTCATCATTTGCAGGGTACATTTTCCCGAATCGCGTCTCTGATCCCCGTTGTACACCTCGGCTAGAAAGTGCAGCGCCGACTTTCCACAATCGAGTATAACCTTGTTGATCTTCAGCTTACTCGAGCCGAATAGTTTCAACATTTTGTTGTCGTGATCTTCTAGACAGCGTTTGAGAAAGAAACACTTGTCTTGGTTAGTTCGAAACATCTTGTTTAGTGTCTCCTTCAAAACCCTCGTCATCACGCGATCGGTTCTTACCTTGTTCGACCAATCCAATAGTATGCGACGGAATTCGTTGCGTCTGATGTTCACATTGGCTATATTCATAAAATGAATTCTGATCTTATGCAGACGACATTGGTAAATCTCCCTCTCGTTTAGTGACATTTTTAATCGAGTTCTTGATATCGTCGACTTCCGTCACGAAAAAATCGTTAATACGGCACTGGAATGCTCGACACTCGGTACCGCGGAGTCACTCGGCAGATCGCTACCGCACTTTTAAATGTTTTATTAACGATATATTGCACTTGAATCGATTTAAAGAAATAGTATTTTCACTTTTCCACGTTGACGCAACGTGGCGACAAGTGACCATGTGCTTTCACGATGGCCAGAGTTCATGAACAGAGCATCTGCATTTTCGACCAGTCGACAGGTGGAGACAAATGAAAGTATAAGATGCGCCGTAGCTGTAACCGAGATGCGCGCGCTGGAATGCGTGTATTTTCAATGCAACACAATTTTTGAATTTTTATAGAATACGGAAATGAAGGCCGAATTCTCTCGGTTAAATAAATAAAAAATGAAAACAATAATTTAACCGATAATTATTTTATTATGAATGTACGACGTTTCGCCGATCTACGTCGACCTCTTCGGGTAAACTAATATATATGTCGCCGTGAGAACGGTATTTGACTACATGACGACAACAAACAATAATATTATTAACACGAGCAAATACACACATCAAGCCAATTCAACGCTTACAATATTTCAAAATGTTACTGTACATGGAGTTCACGATCAAGTCACGGATTGGCTTCTATGATTAGACTATGGAAATTTATAATACATTCGTAATAGAATAATTATCGGTTAAATTATTGTTTTCATTTTTTATTTATTTGACCGAGACAATTCGACCTTCATTGCCGTATTCCTGCTTAAGTAAAAAAACAGAAGGCACGTATTTTGTTAATTATAAATGTATCTGCATATTTTTTATAAATAAGAGATGCAAAATATAGATATTTTAATATACAAAATTATAAAACTTGACTTACACATTACTGTGTTAAAAAAATATATTATAAAAGGACCTTTGAAAAAATTGCCGAGTGACATAGAGTAGATAATTTTATAACAAATATTTATTGTTGCTTAATTAATAATTATATTACATGTAAATTTTCATCTATATACTTTTTTTTTATACAGAAAATATTCTCGACGATGAAAATTATTATTTGTACAGAGTGTTCAGTGTTTTTTTTAAGACTGATTTAAGTATATTCATTCTCTTTTTTTACTTGTAAAAATTTACCTCACTGAACCAGTTCAACAGTTACTACTACTGTCGATGTGGGATATGTACGGCTCTACCTGGTATAATGATATACAGTTGATAACTTAATTTTCTTTTTTGTAAAAAAAAAATTCAAACCTTATTACAGATATTTAAATATATACGAAACTTGGAAATACAAAATCATAAATACTCGGGGTGTATTTTCAATGCATCACACGGTACGAACGATTTTGTGAAACGCGTATTATAACGTAAAAGAGGAATTACGAATTGATATCTTCTTTTATTGACTTTGGTACAGCTTAGTAGAAAACTTTCTACAAAGGTTGGCTAGTGTTAACATTTTTGAATTGTTATTTGCACGCGGTAAACGCGATAAACAAAATCACGCAATAGAAACATTTACTATTTTTTTTTTGTTAATCGGGTTTCTACTGTAATAACTTATTTTACTCATTTTTTTTTAGGTCCTTTACACACTCACACACCGAAACTAAACTTGTTTTTATAAAGCTATACACATTCTCTCCGGCATGTAATTTGTGCGCAAACGAACGACAGACATGCAGAATCCGGCTAGGCTTGTTGCTGTTTTTTTTGTGCCACAAACTCAAAGAGTATTCATCGTAAAGGAACTCTCGAATCTTCCGGTGACACGATCTCTCTTTTTATTTTTCGTCAATCGCGAAATACTGTATAGGAAACGCACCCAAAGGCCAGGTGCCAGGCATCCAATCGTTCGATTCACAGCTGGCCGTTCTCCAGCGCCTTGTTGAGGTCCTGCACGAGGAGGGCCAGTATCGGCCTGAGCTCGCTGTCCTGGGCGAAGACCCGATCGAGAAAGTCCGGATGGCCGAGAAAGTCGAAGACCTGATCGCAGCGCTCGTGCGACTTGTCGGTCAAGTGGGGCCTGACGAGGTCGTGCACGGCCCTACGGCAACGTTCGAAGGACCGGCAGAGGAAGGCCCGATCGAAGCTGAACTCGAGCTCGTAGAAGGACAGGACGGTCATGGCGCAGGAGTGGAGGGCCCGACGCACCGCCTCGATGTTGGCCGTGTCGCTCGGCCCGAGCTGCTGATTCTTGTGCAACAGTCCGATCTATGAAACGAAGGATGGAAAATTTTTTATTGTTATTATGTATCGGATCTGAACATATGTAGCCCCGTTATCATAGACGCGTCTCGAATCGATGCTCGTCTCGGATCAATGGCCCGTGGCCTTTCACAAAAAAAAATGACCAAGGCCAACACTATACAGCTATTTTTAAAAGCAGCAGCAGCCTCACCTTTATCGACAATTTGACTATGTTCTTCAGCACCTTCTCCGGCTGCTTTTTGTCGAGCTGCGGACTGGCTCGAGCGGCCTTGTCCATGAGCTTGTACAGATTGTCGAGCATGAAGGCGGTGGCGTCGTCGATGAAGAGCGCCCGACCCGCGTTCGACCCGGCGAACTTGCCCAGGATCTTCTTCTGCGCCCTCAGGCCCAGATCTCGCGCTCTGCTGTTGCTGCTGCTGCTTCCGTTAGTCCCGTTGCTGCTGCCATTCATGCTCGAGGAAGGACCGATGGTCGACGATGGACCCATTTGATAAGCCGATTGAGCAGTGGCCGCTGACTGCATCACTGCACGACAGATAGAGAGTGAGGAATTAGGATACAACGTTATATGGTGATTTTTTTTTGTGTATTTGTATTAAATGTCTGTACGGTACTGCAAGTCGTGCTATACATTGACTACGCGACGGTCTGTACGAGCCTCGAAGCTGTCGAATAATAGATAACAATTTCTTTCGTCGTGAGTCATACACCGCAGTGATGATATTATACGACAGCATGAGTCTAGCCGGGCGCAATATTACTCTCCTCGGCTCGCGATGCTGCTATATACATATCATAATGTGTATGTAAGAGTATTTTGTAAGCGTACCTCGTCTCTCGTGTAAGTGCGGTATATACATCAACAAGAATTTTTTACCCGAAAAAACTCGCAGCTATCAACGCTTAAATTTTTTCTACACTTTTATTTTTACTTTATGAATAAATAAAGAATAAAGTCTCTCGCGAGCGGTTACTCCTTTTTATGTACACATGTATCAACGTGCGAGCAACGATCGGAGCAGACTAATATATATCGCGATATCTTATACGATACAGCAACACATGGCATATAGACACACGCGTGTGCGCCGAGGCTTTACGAAAATATAGCGGAGCGATAAGCCAACTTACGATTGTACACGTATAGGTATAGGTACAGCAGTACGCGACGAAGAAGAGCTACATATATGCGTGTGTTACAGTATGTGTCATGCCCGCGAAAAACAAATAATAATACTCGGCCGTCGCGATACGTAATATCGTCAGAGCTCTGGCGATATGCTGTATTACAACGGACTGTTATATATAGATATATAGTGAATGCAGCATACGATATATTATAATATAAATTACGCAGTCGCGTCCACGCGCACACGATGACACTGTGTACGACGCGCAAGTTCAATTTTGCAGGATTAACGGTGTACTACATGGGTATATAGAGGCAGTGGCTTGCGGTGAGTGAGCTGATGATGCAGCCTCGCAATATCGTGTGTGTATGCAAAACAACTTTAAAGGCTACAACACAATGAAGAACGAAAACAAAAAGGATACAAACTCGAGTCGTACGAGTGTCAAAAAGAAAAAAACGATGCGACGTGTAACGAGCGAGAGAGAATTAATAAATCAGGTGCAATAAATTGTAATATGTAGGTCACGCGAGCGCGTGTCACGGGTGATGCGGCGAGGCGACGATATCGTATAATATGCACAGCAGAGGCAGAGAGGGTTGAGGGTTGAGAAGAAGAAAAAAAAATCGAACTCTATACAGGTATATCGTACGTTGCATAAAAAAAGAGACACTCGACGAGCTCTCGATATTATTGGTCGAGCACACACGTGCACAGCTGCTAGACCGACGCCCTAATAATCGTCTCTTTGCATCTATCCGCTGCTTTGTGTATATACGATGTGTTGTGTGTGTGGCAGTTATACAACAACGAGCATTGAAATATAAAAACTCGCGTGGACGCGAAGGACGTCGTGGCTGTCATGTGCATATAGGAGGAGGTTGTGCCTCCCGCGCGATCCGATGCGCATAAACACACATGCTAATGTGTCACACATGTATAATACGTTCTCGTTTTACAATGTGCGATGATGATGTATACTACTTAAATACGTTTGACATCGATAAAAACGTGCTAAGCTATACACACATTTTGTATATACATGAAAATAATAAACAATGAACATCGAGATGTGACAAACAGCAACAACAAAACTTTTTGATATACGCATGCTGTTTTTATAATCGGTACCTTGATTACAGTCAACGGCTACGAGGTGATAGAGTAGCCAACTTTGAAGCTCCATTACCGCTGAGCCCCAAGCTATCTGTCGACATATATGGGTATAATAATGCAATGTTTTTTGTGTTTTTTACAACGGATCGATCGATCCTGCCACTGGAAACATATTTATTATTCTTTGGTTTTTTGGTGAAGTAAATTAAGAATGAGATCGAAATCGATTGATGAACTCGTCCAAGTTTCCTGAATGAACTTGAATTATGAGGATGCTACAATGCGATATGAAATTGAAAAATGCATCGCACGTAGCTTTCGCGTTACCCTGGAACTCTCTTATTGCAACGCTCGCCGGTCGTCTTTGACGAGAAAGAAGAAAATACAGGATGAAAAGCGACAAAGAAAGAGATAGGGAGAGGGAGCTACCGGTTTAGCTAGACGACATTCTTGCCAGCTAGTTTTGAACTTTTAGAAGCATACATTTTTCGCTCTCCGATGCATGCACATATTACGATACCTATACGTGGATGTATGCGTGAAAATCTCCCTCTTGTAAAGGGAACGAAGGAACTTTTGGCGCGTAAAATGTACAGGGGGTTGTCGAGCGCGTCTTGCAATTTTGCATGCCACGTCTTTGTATGCAACGACGAACTTATTTTCTCCCTAGTTCTCGTATACATGCACTCGCATTTTACATACATTGGGCAAATAAACGCGTCAAAGGGATAGAAGGTACACTTTGATCGTGTAAGCGCAAAGTGGACCCATATAACTTTTGCAGTGTGTATACATACGAAGCTCCATTCTCCGATAACGAACAGATATTTAATACACTCACTGCTTTATATAACTACCACTGCAATTCTTTCTCTGGCCAAGCGTTGAATACGATATAAACAAATAACACAACTTGTATAACTTATTGACACTATATAATACGCGTCTCTCACTCTCGCTCGGATGCACTCGGTTAGACAGTCGAACTAGCTTCGGTGCTTTACTTGTACTGAAGAAAAAGATATAGACGATGGTACGTACAGTCGCGAGCTCGGCGCGTGCACGAAATCCCCTACCACCATTACAAAGTCCGGAAAAAAGGAGCCGTTGGCCGTTACACTCGACGTGCATAAGGTATACGTACGAGCGGCCCCTTTTTAAAAGAAACGCGTACATGTATAAGTGTATAAGCAACCCTGGCAAATGTCACGCGGGAAGAAAAGAAGGGCGGCGGCGACGGCTGTGGCAGCTGTTGCGCTCGACGGGCCCGCCGATATAATATACGAGAGGTACTCTCGAAACGTTTCGAGATATTTTAAAACGTACGTAATATATCCAAGCCACAATTTGGAGTGCGTCGATGTTGTTGTTGTTGTGTGTATATATAGGTGCACGCGACGTTTTACGTCCGGAATTTTTTTAAAGATCCGTGTTTGTATTATAAAAAATGGCCAGCTGATGATCCGTGCGCGTATTTAATTGGAAGTACGTCGGAAAGAGATGTATTATAAGATCGACGCGTGAAAATATTGTCTCTCTAAACGTCGCGCGTTGACATCGAGCGACTCTCGATCCGACACCTGTATGTATGCCGCTAATTACTCGCGGATCGAGTCATAAGCATACCTGCAAACACGCGTAAGACCTACGCAAGTAGGTACGCGCACACACGTCTTGCACGCGTCAGCTGCCGATGTATATAGTATACTATATCGCAGCATCTCCAGGTCAGGCAGCTGTTCCGACGATTTTTATTCTTCGTTAGATATCGCGGGCCATGATTCGACGGATTCTCAATGCTACATAACGATGGATGATTAGAGCCGAGTCGAGGCAAATTAAGCCCCGGCGTTGACTTTGCGAAATATATGTATACGCTATACGATATATTTTATATATTACGCGCGTTACGTATTATCGATGATTTTTCACGTCGTACTTACGCGCATAACTCATAATAATGTCTATGATATTACGCACGGCTTGGCGCGTGCGTGGGTGGTGGCACGCAGCTAGGCAGGCGACTCGATGCTGCCACCGAGTGATTGTAATATCGTTATGTAAGATATCCCAAGGATCCCGATGGATGGATTAACGCGGCTTTCCGATGAAATTTTCGTTACATATTATATTATTCGCGCGCTAAACTTCGAATCTAATTGTAATTTGACGTAACGGCTCAAGATCGTATCGCCGATATCGTATCCTGTCCCTGTTTTTGCGACGTCGATGATATCGATTAGATTATTATTATTATATTTATTCTTTGGCTCTCTGGAGTTTAGCGCAACGTAATTTGAATTATTAATGCCAATCGCGTATGCAAATACTGCATTTACCGCCGTGACCGATGATCCATATTTTTCTCTCTCGCTTCTGCATTATTTATGCGCATGTGCAAGTGACAATATGGGACTTGGTTTTCCATACGATGATATCAATGTATGTAGCGCACGTTTTAATTTATTGTATACATACATCGTGCCTATATTATTATAAGACGCTCCGAGAAGCGAAATGAAAGTGATGACATCGTCGAAAAAAAGCAGGTCGCGCGCTTAATGTACGTACATATACATTGTTATAATGAATTTACCTAGCACTAATACCACTACTATCTATCTGCTGCGATGTAGCCGCGACGTGACATATCCGAGGCAAAATCCACGTGCCATTTCTATGATCGAAGGTGAAATTTTCGCCGCTTTTCTTTTCTTTTCTTTTTTTCCCTGCATATATATAGGTTCGCAGGCTATCGAACACAGACTCGTTTTACTACTTTTGTACGTATATATGGAAGTCAGCAGATGCACTTTGTGCTCCCTCCTGCATTTCTCTCTCTTTCACTCGAGTTACTTTGAACTGTCCTTCTGCGCCGCTTTCTCAATTATGAAAGCTCCTCTTTGACGTCGTCGCGAGCAATGCGGCATATTTGTGACTCGGGAACGACGAAGACAGACAGAGACAGAGAGAAATCCTATGCGATTTTGCAACTCTTTCAAACGAGCTCATTTAATAACGAGACAATTCGCTGCGCTTCTTCGCCGCTTGCGACTAAACGAATGATTCACGCGGACTCGAGAATAACGTCTTGATATTTTTACGTTTATATTGGAATGTTTTCGTCGCCTTTTACGAGCCGAATATCGAACGAATTTATTTCGAGGTCGACTCTATTTTTTTAAGCTGTAACCAAAAGTAAAAAAAAGAAAAAAAAAGGGTTCGATCCTCTCGCCGATCACCGGAGCTAATTCGCGAGGCCTTTCTTCTTTTATATTACAGAGACACGCGGCTGAGCAGAGGTCAAAAGCTCGACGCAGAGAGGTGTGCTAGCGTAGTTATAATCCTTGGGCAAACTTTTCCTACGAGCTTAATGAATATCTCGCGTGAAAGCTGCCGTGAATCGTGTATATCGTCACGTGAAAAGCTCACAATAACGAGCTTTTACACGACTTATCGTGCACATAAGCGAGCTTTTGACTAAAACAACGAAGAGAGAGTATAGCTTTATACGGTACACGCGCGTTTATTACGAAAACTTTGATTTATTCCGCGGCACGCGATATTGTTTTTTTTTTTTTTTTGCCGAGCTTGAAAACAATTAACGAACTCGAGATACGCGTGTGATATATTTGTGGCGTATACATAACAGAGCTGCCAACTTGTTGCGCACTCCAGATGTGTATATACGACAGGATCGCTTCGACTTCGGTAATTCAGTTTTGGCCACGATCCCGAAGTGTGCAAGTATCCACTTCCGACGGCGACGACGAGGATTTCATAAATCGATTTGTCGCGTGTACGCCTTTTTTAGCGTTTTTATATCTAAATATGAATTTTGAAAATGGAAAATTAAATGTCGTTTGACGTTGTGCTATGTATTCTTTAATATAAATACACACTCGCGTGGCCCAGTTTCTCGCGCTTTACCAACAACGCATTATACATACGTTCATTTAAATATTGTAAACAACGCAAATTGGCGAGAGATGCAACGGCCAATAATAATCGCCGCCTTTGTGCGCGCGAGCTTAACAATAATATACGTATATAATTGTCGTTGAATATAAAAAAAGAATAAAAAAAAATCACGCGGCACGATTTCTTACTAAGAAAAAGCTAAGTACGAAGCCGCAAATTTTTCCTTTTTCTCTTCTCGCTCAAAAATTTCCTGCTCAGAATTCGAGTGCGGCGGCAACGAGTAAAAGCGATAGCACAGCGCACGAGGCACTTCCTTCTCTCTCTGTATAATACACATTTAAAGTACATATATATGCACGTTCGCTATTATACACGAGGCGAGGCGAGCGCGGAATTGAAAGACGTGCTATATACAGCACACTCACGCACATAAACACAAACAACAGGATCCTCTTCTCTCTTACTCTCTTGCTATATGCGGTCTCTCTTTACGTGTGCATCCGGCGCAACTTTAGCTAAGCGGCCGTAATTAGGCCTTCTCTCTCTGCAACTTTACGTCTCTCTCTCGTTTTGTTTTTTTTTTTTTTTTTTTTCAGGGCGTGGATCGCCACTCCGTATCTATGGTACAACGTAATATCTTTACTTTTTTTTTATCGCTTCGCGTCGCGCTTGAGCCCCCGTCGACTGTTAGAGCTATATGTGCGCTGTCGTGCATGTTTCGAATGAGTCAATCGATTGATTTAGACACACATACACACACACAACGAGAGAGGCCAGGCAGAAATGGATTTTTTTTCGCTCTGTTTTGTATTTGTCTTTCGGAAAGAAAAAAAGTTACGTGGCTCGGACTCTCTCGCTCGCACTCTCTCGAGTGGCTTTTCGATAAGGCTCGAGTAAACACAACGCACACACACATATAACTGCTCTATAGCCGAGAGGAGCCCTCGAGAGTCATATCGCGCGCACTCGTGTACAGAGAGAAAATTCAATAGGCCGGTGTGTGTATAATAAGCGCGCACCCGTGTAATTACGAGCTGCGACACAGCCGATAAAAAATTCATCGCGAAAGTCGTCGATTATTTGCCTCGGATGTACCTACTTATATCGAGATGTGTGTGTGTATAGGTACACAGGCCGAGCTTTTTCCTTTTCTTTCAATCGAATTCCGTCGCGTCCGGCACTTATAAATAGGAACTGCAAAATATACTCTAACTATAGTTTAAGATTGTATCGTAGCTGCAAGTTACAGTTGATCCGGCACTAATTTTTTACAACGAGGTACATAAGTGGGCACAACGTCGCAAAAAGAAACAATAGAAAAAAAGTTCGAATGGCATAAAATCCAATATCACGAGTGCAGTATTCACGGCATAAAGTTATAGATATATTTTACATAGCATACGTATAGGTAGGTGTGTGGATCTAGGCAAATATACGTCTAGTCTCGCGACCTTCGGGCAGCGCGGCAAAGCACGGCACAGCACGTCGAGTGGCACTTCATAAAATAAATGCATATACGAAATATACCTATACATACGATATGATATTCGCCAACGTGAACTTGACTATAGTTTTCCTTTTCCTTTTAAACTCAACGATACGACAACAGGCACGTGTTGCTGCTGCGCGTTGGATATATACGACGATGATGTATCGAAGAGCCGCGCGACGAGACAAGTCCACTATTTATCAACTTATGCATCGCTGTATATATACGGCGCCCGAAACGTGTCCGTATACAGGATGTAGGTGTATGGATGATGATACGCGCGAGGAACGGCGTCAATGAGCGATATGCTGGGAAAAAAGCTCACGAAACACATGATTGGCACTAACCTCGATAGCTTTTCTCGGATTCTTTTGAGCCACCACTGCTATGTTGTTATTGTTATTGTTGTTGTTGTGGTTCTTGTCGGTACTGCTCTCAGTCTCGTCGTCGTCGTCGTTTATGTTATTATTCGACTCCCGTTGATGCAGCACCGCAGCAGCAGCAGGCAGAGCAGCGGTAGCAGTGGCAGCGGCGACAGCCGGAAAAACTAAGGCCTCCTTGCGTAGCGAGCCAAGGAATTCTTGAAATTTTGACATCTAGACGGACTCGTTTGTGTACGTTTCGGACGCGCTTTTTTTTATTATGGTCTACGATCTCACCGCGATAGATGACAACGGATCGACTTGCATCGTTACAGCGTGTAAATGTGTGCGAAGCCCGTCTATACGCGTTGTTTATTTATGTTTATGATACTCGAGACACCCGCGACCGCACCGCACGTGATATTAAGTCGCGCGTCCGTGTGTGGGTGTGTATAATTTCAAGACTGTATGTATACAACTAAAAGTCAGAGCGAATCGTGTATACTACGTGCGCTCCGCTCGAGAGATCGGAGTCGACTCCGAGCTGACTTAGCCCATATAGCACTGCCTCCTCTCGCGACTGTCGTTGTCGAGGGGCGCGCTCGCGACGCGGCGAAAATAAAACACGCAGTGCACATTTATGTATGTACACATTGGTATCGACAGGCCGCCGTCGTGACGGACTGCCGCCGCCATCTGTCGTGAAAGCTCGCAAAGTCGAGCTTTTATGTGCCTTTACCATATTGCGTAAAGGATATATAGGGTAGCGAAACTTTTTTGATTAAAATCTCGCGAGGCTCTTTCTTTCGTTTCAATTTATGAAGCCCTCCCCGCAGTGTCTGCGTTGAAAATGCAATTTTGAATGATAAAAGCTCTGCAACTTGGGTGCACTTACTTGGTAATAAAAACTGATAAAAACATCCTATATCCGTTGCTGCGATATTGAATTGATTTTCCTATAAAGTAAACGAATGTAAAAAAACTGACAGAACTTGATGGTAGCAGCGAGCCTACCTTGAGAGTTACCATTTAAATGATGCACCAAATTTGGACCAATTATTTAAAGTTTACCCCTAATTTGTACAATCGAATAGTTTAAAGAAAGCTATAAATATGCAATGGGATTTGCTCTGCTGAACAATTTTAGATCAAGACATAGCAAGTGAAAGGGACATTGACTCGTATTGGACGAAGCTTGGTGAATATGAAAACGCCTATAATAATAAAATTGTTCAAGATTTGTATAATTTGGTTCTCAGTATAATATCATGTCACAAATAAATATTTTTAAGTTGTAGTGGATTAGAAAAAAAAACTCGTTGAAAATGAAATGTTTTTATTAAAATGTTTTTATGCAATAGTAGGCGAAAAATACGTTCATTTAAATGAGGCGTTTTACCGCACACCCGTGTCCAAAATGAGGCATTTTACCGCACACCAGTGTCGAAATGAGGCATTTTACCGCACACAAGTGTCCAAAAACGTTTTTTGCGCACTAAAAAATGTGCGAAAAAAGACATTTTTCGTCGTACTATTGCATAAAATTTTGTATGCAACACGTGCCCAGCTTTTGGTGCGTGTCTTTTTCCGCACATTCGTGCCCAAAAACTCCTTTTGGGCACTTGTTACATAAAGAACTATTTCAACACAAGCGTCGTCTTTTCGGCTCTGGTAATAGCTGCACTTCATCCTCTTGATTCGTCTGCTCGCACAAACGTAATAAATCCTCGTGGCTCAAATTTTCGGCAATTTGACGACAAACCACGAATGACAAATTCAATCCACATTTATCAGTCATAAATAGATGGGCTACTGCCAATTCCAAATGTGGTCTAATCAAAATATCTGCCCAATGTCTTTTCACAAGGAGCTTGGAGAGAGTCAAGTCATTCAGCTGTTGTGGTAACTGAAAATTTTTGATTTTTTTTTAAAATCGAGTAACCCTTGTCGTAGCTCATTTGGCAAATTTCGTGGAGAGAGACTTTTTCATTCAGAGAAACGCTCTTTAACTGTGCAGTTTCCAACCCAATTTCATTGACCAACTGTTGAGTGATTTTATTGTGGCGGAAATATCGACTTTTTTTTAATTTTCTCAATTCTGAGAATAAGTAATCATTAGCTTTTTGTTCCATGTAAAAACGATTATGAAGATGAATTTTTATATTTCGTGTGCTGGATCTCTCACTAGCACAGCTGGGCAGTAAATGATCGGCTCCATTGCCCCGAATTCTCATCCAGCATTTGATCATTTCAAGTCTAGTAGCGAAATCCATTTTGAATCCGGCCGACTGCAAAAATTCCACTACCTCGATCATGTTCATGGTCAAAGGACGATACTTCAATTCGCGTGTTTCAAAATGCCTGGCAAACATTCGGTCCTCGTTCAAGCTACTCAAACTTGCGCCGAGCTTCAGAAGGGCCCTGGTGAGCTTCAGGTCGAAACACGACACCGCCGCCTGTAGTGGAGTGTCTCCGTGAATGTCTCGTGCCTCGATATCTGCTCCTCTATCGATGAGCTCGTTGACGATCTCGAAGGCCGGTTTCTTGTCTTCGCAGGAATGGCAATAATGATCGCAGTCGCATATGCACCAGCGCGGCCACGACAGGGCGTGCAGAGGCCTCGACTGATTATTGCTCTCTAAACTATTCGGATCGGCTCCTTTCTCCAGTAAAACCTCCACGACGTCCGTCTGACGGTACTGAGCCGCGATGTGTAGTGGGGAGCACGTGTACGTCGAGATATTGACGTCTACACCTAGTTCCAAGAATCGCTTCACTTTAGCCACGTTGCCCGTCATGCAAGCCGCGTGAAAGTACGTGTAACCATGAGCGTCTTGGTGATTTTCCACTGAATCTTTCAAAAAATAGTCCACGACTCGTTTGGCCATCTTGCCACCGACGTCGTATCTTGGGCTGCATTCGTTTTCCTTGAGTAAATAGTGAAGTGCCGATCGTCCATCTTTGAATCTGAACTCGTGGATTTTTAACTTGATAGCCTCTTGAAGAAATATCACCATTTTTAAATGCCTCCGTTGCAACGCTAATATGAGAAATTGTTCTCTACTCGGAAATAAGGTTTGATCTTTTATCGCCTTTATACCCATCGTACAATACATACCGCCATTCGATACAATATTTGGTACGTAACGTTGATAAAATTTTTCACATCTGGCGTCTGTATCTTCAATTTTTCCTAGAGATTCTCTTAACGCCATTATTTTAATGTTGTCAAGATCTCCATAAAACATTTTGAAACGTGATAAAATCAAGTCAGACGATGGTATATTTTTATATTTAACACTGAAAATTTGATAAGATCTTTCACTGCTCAAAATTGTATTAGCAAGTTGCACTTAAGAAAGATAGATGAACCGTGATATGTTTACTCTCGCACTAGAAAACACAGACTGAAGATCCAGAGAAAGGTTTTTGAAATCTGAAACACGTGGAGAGCTCTGCACATGCGCAGTGAGATTATGACTTATGATATTTCAATATTTGCCGGTTGCATGAGTGAGGGCGCCACTGCTCGCCTAAATATTATGGAAGGCGGAAAAATTACTTCAAAAATAATTTATTTTCAATGTTTGTGAAATTTCATGACAGAATATGTTACAATTATTAGTATGTTAGTCGCAAAGAGCAACAAATATCGTACGAAAACCGCATTTTCGAATGAAAAAATACATTTTTTTGTATAAAACTGTTGATAGTTTTTAAAATATTTATTTAAGACAAATATACAGTAAAGATTCGAAAAGTTCATTAAATTTTACGTTAAAACCCGTATTTTCCAAAATTTTTAACGCTTGTAACATGTTCAATCACACAACGAAGAAGATGCGCCAAAAATGAGCAATGAAAATTAATTTAAACCAAATTAAAAACCTTCAAGCGACTGGCGGCATTGGTTAACTCAATTTATAAGAGCTGAAATTTTGCACAGATTTTTTTTTTGGTACATAAATCACTTTTCCGTTCAGTCCTGGCAAAGTAAAAAAAAATTTTTTTAGCTTCCAGTCTAATATCGATACATACGTCGTTTCTGATCACCATCACCACGCTGCTGCCCACCGTACCTTTACCATGACGTGCATACTAGCAATTGAGCCAAGCATAAGGATAGGTTTACCTAAATTTTTTTGATTAAAATCTTGGCAACTTGGGAGCACTTACTTGGGTAATAAAAATAAACGGTAAAAGCATCCGTCCTATCCGTCATACAGATAGGTTGAATTGATTTTCCCATAAAATAAACTAACGTTAAAAAAAATGACAACTCTACATAACAGTGTAAACGTTTGCGTCAGTAGTATTTGCGCACGCACAAAAAAATCAAGTAACGAATTATACAAAAATGAATTTCAGTCGTACGTGGATATTAATCTTTGCAATTAAGCTCTGTCACTGCGAGAAAACGAATCCGATCGCCAAGTACGAAGATTTTAGATTCTCGTTCGTGCTGATGATTTGCGACTTCAACAGCGATCGTAATTATCAAAATCGAAATCGAAAGCGTCGTTCTCGGTTAACGATCTCCTCTTTCTTAGGCTGGAGGAAGGAGAACGACGTGCACAAACTGATACGCGACTACTCGAACCACTCAATCATGGCGCAGGCCGTCGGCTACGAGGAGTTGGAGGCCACCCGCGAGATCGTCGACAAGCTCAACACTCGACTGCTCATGATATTCGAGATCGACGAGCAGCGGCTGTTTCAGCGCGGTAATTACAGCGACGACTGGTCGGTCTTCCTCGAGAGCCATCGGAACTTCGTGCTCGACGATATCGTTCGCATCAGCGTCTGGGACTCGAGAAACGGCACCGTCCTCGAGGATTACTTCGAGCGATCTCTGCGGGACGATAGAAGCAAGGTGGTGAACGTGGCGAGGGTGAGTAAATATGTGTTCAATGATTCCATATAATGGTATAATCCGATGTTCAACCGATCGTTTCAGATGAACTTCGACTTCCGCAGCGAGAACTTTTACTACTTCTTCGAGAACTTCAGTGGCTTGATCCAGGAGCTCAGCACCTATCGATACAACACCGTCGTCGAGTACGACACGCGCAAGTACAACACCAACTGGAGCGACCTCATCAAGGATCTCAGCAAGCAGCGCATGAACATGGCCCTCACCCCGATCACCATGTCGATGTCGCGCATCAATCAGATCGACTTCTCGCTGCCGATAATCGTCACTCAGGCGGCCTTCTACATGCAGACCGTCGACAGCACCGTCATCCACTGGAGCTCGTACTTTCGCGTCTTCAGCCGGCCCGTCTGGCTCGTCAATGCCGCCATGGTCGTGCTCGTCTCCTGTCTGCTGATGATCACGAAGAAGCGACACCATCGCGACTGGCACTGGTCCGATCTCTGGTCCTACAACTTCGTCAACATCGTGGGCATCTACGCGCAGCAGGGCCTGGCTGAGAGACCGCGAAATCCGTCCTCGAGGCTGCTCTATCTGACGGTGCTCTGGCTCGCCATGAACGTTCACATGCTGTACTCGAGCGTGCTCATGAGCTTCATCACGGTGCCCGAGACTGGTCTGCCCTTCTCGTCCTACCTCGAGCTCAAGGACGATCGATTGTTCAAGATCATCGTGCTGAACGGTAGTCGGCAGGAGGCCCGATTTGTCAGTATATGCGCACTCGAAAATTGAAGCTAAAGGCAGCGAAATGTAATTTTTTCGCTTTATTTACTTTTTTTTATAAACAGCACGAGTCCGGCAGTCTTCTCCATCAATTCGAGTTCAAGCTCAACAAGACTCAGCCTCTGGAGATTCTCGACGCATTTCTCCGGACCTGCAATCGCAATCAGACGGTGGCTTTCTACACCCTCGACACCTACTACAACGCGCTGAGCAGCAAGATCCCATGCGTCCTGAAGCCGCTCTACTTGCCCATCAAGGAGTACATGTCGATCGGCTTGTCCAAGAACGAGCCCTACCGAGAGGAATTGGACAATCTGTGAGTTCACATCGTCGCCCTCGTCGATGCGAGCAATTACACGATGCGAGCAATTAGCGATGATATTATTCATTTATTTTGTTTTTTTTTAGCATCATAACGCTGTCGAGCAATGGTTTTCTCGCCAGGCTGCGGGCCAAGTACTTCTTTCTGTTCAAAGATATACATTTCGCGAAGGTGAACAGAATCACCATAAACAGCGTCATGCCTATTTTGACGATCTACGTGAATGGAGTTATGCTGTCTTTGATTATACTGACTGTCGAAATTATCGTATGGAGAAAGAGAACGGTGTCGAGTACCTCGGATTTTCAAAAGGCTGTAGCATGGAAAAAGTGAAATTTTTCAAGATCAGTATTATCTGTATAGAAGATTTTTATTGGTGAAATTGTTTCATACTTTGACTTCACACAATGTTTATGATTTTATTACAAAATCTCAAAAATTTACCACGTTTATACATCCTACTTGTAAATTTGTAACTTTTTTAAATTATAATGTACAATCCTAGAAAATTATAGAGTATAGTATGTTACAAAATATATTCTTATTTATATCTGATATTGAATTGTGCAATATTTGTGCGCCTTGTGATGCCATCTATCTTCATCGACTATACTTCCATATTTCATGTAAAGTCTGCATGTGTGTGTATGCTTTCTTAGAAATATTTAATGCAGCATGTATTTCTTGTAACGCTGGTTCCTTGATTAAACTCAAACTGCACAAACCTACAAGAATACAATTTTTTAAGTAAAATCAAAGAGAAGTTATGGCAATTTGGAATAAACTATAATTACCTAAATAGGCATGCAAAGGATCTGGACGTTCATTGGTATATTTTCCAAAACCACCGACCAAAGTATTTTGTGTATCTAATACAAATGCTCTATTGTCTTGACTGTCTGATAACTTATCAACGCCTAGTAATTGTAGAGTAGCACCAATCCAGAAACTGTAACAAGAATCTTGTGGCTTTCCAGGTCTGCCTTGAAACCCTCTGTCTTGTCTCATTAAGCACCATCTTTTTAAATTTTCTAATTGTTTTTCTGAGAGTACATTGTGCAGTTCATTCATTAAATACAGACTAGCAACAGCACAAAATGTTGATCCTCCATGTGCCTCTAATCCTGGTCCTTGTCCAAACGCTCCATCATATGACTAATTTTAAAGTAAAAATTATTTCTTATGACTTATTTCAAGCCAACTTACATTAGTAATATAAATAATAAAACTTACCAAGCTTTTTAAAATGTAATCAATAGTGAGAGCTTTGTTCATGCCAGACCAGTCATCAAGAATAGCTGAAACGCAGCTGGCACAATAAACAAATCTCATGTCACTTTCGCTGCCTGCCACCGTTGCCATAAAAGAACCATTAGGATTTTGACACGCTCTCATACCTTCCAACATTGACTCTTTGTCAACTTTAAGCAAATCGTCGCCCAAAATCAACAAACTTGCTAAACCAGTGTAAGACATTGCCAGATGACCGCAGTGATATTCTGGGGAGATTTCTTTGGAAATCATGGGCGAAGAGCTGAAACCAGATCTAGGGCCAGCACCGGTAACCTGTAATCTATAAATCCAGTCTATGGCCTCTTCTTTTTTCACCGGTAGATAATCGTCCAGAGTGCCAAGTAAATCAAGCGCAGACAGGCCAAAATAGCCAAAGGTCATCCTCATTGCATCTGGACATTCCAGCGGCATCAACTGAAGAATCATGTGAAAATATCTGGAATGTTTTTCCTTCATCAGTCTGGGCGTCATGGTTTTTTTCTTCTTGATTTTGTTGGCGCGTGGACTGCGCGAAGGGCTTTTCGTTCGGCGCTCAATTTTGGCGAATTTTTTGGTACACTCTCAAAGGAACAAAAACAAAGTACTTGGCAGCAATTAATATAGCTACTCAGTGCGGCGCTTTGGTTGACATATTCGTATCTATCAGTTATACTGAAAATTGAAAGTGGATTACAATTGATTCGTTTGTGAATTTAGCGATAGATGTTTACGAGAGATACTCACAACAATACAAATTATTCAAACTTGGCGATGTCTAGCTCCGAAATGAAACAATAATACAACTCGGATCCTTTTAAACCTCGAGTCGGACGAAAACTTATATCACTTGTGCTGGCTATTACACTTCAATTAAAATAAAACTAGCAGTAGACTACAAAACTATACTGACAATTGCATCGGGGTGGCGACGATGTACGCCGCTACTACTACTGCTTTCTCTCTAACTCGTCGACTCTGTAGATGTAGTGTGTGTTTGTCATACAATGTAGGTAGGGTTAGATGAGTAAGCTATATCGCAATACCGAGTAGACGACGTTATATACCACTGCTGTTGGGGCCATGCAGAGCAGATGACACGTTCGACACGGCAATGACGTGCTGCGCGCCACACATATACAGCTGCAGGACAAAACATCAGACGACAGGCGCTGCGCAGCATATCGTTCGCAGTTTATACAGCTGTCACATGCTTCGCACACACAAAAACTGTACATTTAGGCCTATTATTAAACGTTTGCGCGGTAGCGATGAACTTTGTGAGTTGAGCTTTTTTTCATTAGACGGAGCGCTGACTGCTACTGTGTACTTGAATTCGAAATGTTTGGCATTCGATGAACTATTTTATGACATATAGTTCGGAACGTCATCTAAGTGCTTGCACTGCTCGCTGCATCTTTTACGATCATACGAGTGACAAAAAGTTTAGAAATATTATTCATAAAAAGTCGGTAAACATGTAGCAAAAGCATATAATATATAGGAGTTGTCATGTTGTGTGACATTCAGGCGAGTGGGGGGGAGGCGCAGCCGGTTCTCATGCATGCACACACATACACCCTCGTATCGTCATATGTATCATCGTGTAGTATACAAGTTATATATGTAAGCCGAAGCAGCAGCGGGCATAAACTGTATATATCGTTTACACCTACACACACGTATATGCAGAAAAAGGCGCAGAGATACTCGGCGCGTTACACCGCCGCGCGCTCGTGTCCGTCTGACGTCGGTCACCCCGTTCACGATATATATCCCAACGTATACATGCTATATAGAAGCCGGTGCAGTGGCAAACTCGAGCCGTCGTCGTCGTCGTTGCACTGCACAGCAGCTATCTACTTTACGCAAGGGAGGAGAATACAGTAGCTAAGCTGCCCTTCGCCGCGATACCGTGTGTGTATATCACTGTGTAATATATATACGTGACGTTCGCCCGACTGTCAGCTGTCGAGTCGTTCGCGAAGGAGGTGTTGATAATATATATACTCCGTGCGGAGGCGTCGTCGCTCGCCGGAAATATAAGAAGGAGCCGAGCTGCTGCCTGCCTGCTTGCCACCGCACGATTACAACGGGTCAACTCTTTCGGGGCCGATAAGAGACACACACCGGGGATAACCTCAATCCACTAGCGGAAGCAGGTAGGTTATCGTCGTCGTGCGAACACACACGACATAGAGCATAATTAATTCAGCGTGATTGTTGGGAGAGCACCGGTGTGCTTTCGAATCGACGATTTTCGGCACTAGGCCACCACGGTGTATCGTATAGTCGCGACAAGGGGGGACACATACTTTTCTCTCTCGCTGATGACTGTGTTTCGGAGCGAAGATTAGAGAAATTCTCGGAAAAATTCCGGATTTCGTCTTGGATATACACACGGTGGGTGTAGGGAAATTAGAAGGTGATCGCTCGACGATAACGCCAAATTGATGCATCGCGTGTGTAGGTTAAGGCGCTCGACAATTAATTCTGCATTTGGCGAACAAATTTGAGTCATACTTTTTTTTATACACACACGACGGTCGTGCGCAGTCGAGTAGCCTCGCCTCGGATATCAGGCCGTGTTCTTTATTCTTTGACCTTATTTTTTTTTGTCATTGCTCGACACACAATACCGTGCCATATATTACTGATCTAAATTTTCTATCGATTAGAAAAAGAGTGCAATTTTATCATCTCAAGAGTCGAGAGTCTTGAGAGATGTCGTGCGAAGGTTTTCACCGAGAAATTCGAATCGATCGTTTCAAATACAGTGACAGCTCTAATGACATTACTTTTGGCATTGTACCGATAAAAGGTCGAACCGACGAGGCTTTTAAATCAAAATGTACTGTTGATTTTGTTTTTTGTAAACACGAGTGAACCTGCGTCTAACAGGTCGGGTAAGTTGAACTCTAGTTACCTCATACAGGTTGAAAGTTATCGGTGTCTATTTACAAACATAATTCGAGGATCGTGCGATTTTTTTCTCACGTTTTTTAAAGATGTTTTTAAAATAAAAGTAGCAATGGACTTCATTCAGTAATTAAGAAAAAAGGTTTGTATCCAAACATTAATCAATGCATGATTTTGCATGAAATTTGTTTTTTTCCATGCCACGATAGGTAGGATATTGACACTCGTCGCCAGCCGCGAGATTCCACCTCCTTCTATATGTACATCATTCAGGTGCACTCGTCGTCGCCCTCGCCCTCGGCCGATATATCGAGTGCAGAGCGGGGCTGTAAAACGCCCCGTAACTCGCTTGTTACGTGTGTACCCACGGCAGCGTATAATAATCGCGATTCGGCCTCTCGTATACGGTCCTTCCTTGCATCGCAGCGCCCGCATCGATGCGCCCGGGATGTGTGCAGCAGCCGCCACCCTCCGCGCTCTGCTGCGTGCACGAGCACTCGTGCCTTCTCTCTTCCTTGCTCGCGCGTGTCCGGTGTCTTTTCCACACACACCACTTTGTACATTACATAGGTATATGTCTGTGTGGTAGGTACACCCCCTCGCTACGCTACATACACACACACACCGATACACGCGCATACATTCGTATCTTCTCTGTTTCGCCGCTTGTTCGAGCAGTTCTCTCTCTCTCTCTGCCTGCAAGCAGCAGCGCCGCCGTGCCGTAGTCCCCAAGCTGCTGCTACTACATTTATTACACACGCACACACATACGACAGTGGCGACGGTCGCGCAGCAGTTGTTCACTCCGCACCGCCGACATCGCTCGCTGCTGCTACTGCTGCTGCTGACTCCGCTGAGCGGCAGTTTTCTTCCGTGGCTCTCTTCACGTGCAACTTGCAAGTCCTCGCGCAGTGTGTTGGTAGTTTAATTAGTGTGTGGACCTTGAAGAAGAAAGCACATAGCTAGAGCTACTTTTACGTGTACATACATTAAAAACACACACACGTCGTTCGACGCGCGCCTTCCTCGCGCTCCTACTGCTGTTGTGCTGTTTTTTTAATTGCTGCTTGCTCGACGACGACAAGAGTGTGTGTAAAGTCGCTCAGTCCGCGGGGCCGCGCGCAGACAACCTCTACCCTATATATAACGTAAAGAACACCCGTCGACGACGAGCGTTGATACAACACAGACAGCCCCGTTGGTTGCCAGGAGAGGAGCCGCCGCTGTTGTGTCGACGACCATAATTGATACCATACATAACATCGCCAGTGATCCAGGATGGCTCAGAACAACTATTTCGGTTTCACTCACGGTGGCACTCAGTACGGGTACGTAGGTCACGCTTGTCTCTCTCCTTCATCGTTGTTATTGGACTTTTCAACGGGAACGAAAAGAAAAAAATGAAATCTCTCTGCGCCGTGTCGAAAATTGGTTATAACGCCGGTTCTCTCTCTCTGGCTTTCTCGTACCCACACACACACACACACACACACACATACATTCTTGCGACAGCCATAATCAAGACTCGAGACTAAATATATACATACACATACACATGCACGGATTTTTGCGCGTGTGTATATCTCGTATACCCTATACACACATACATAGGCAAGCATGCGCCTGCCGCATCGTCGTCATTTCTTGATATGGCGGCCATTTCTCTTCCTCGCCGCATCGCGCTTGTCTTAGCACTTGTATCATATATTAATACCGCCGCCGCCGTCTCGGAGAGCCCGAGAACATTTAATTTTTTCTATGCACATAAGTCTCCGGACCATCCGTACGTAACGTACGTCGATGCTGGTTTGACTTTCGCGAGCTGACAACCGCCTCGAAACGAGACGTGTGCCCTCGCACATTATATTATTACTCGAGGCGCACGCAATTGCAGCGTGTGTACGTTGATTTACTCGTCCTTTGCTTTTTTTCGCAACGATGAATCTCGGCGGGGCCCCCGTTGTTGATCTTGTGACTAACGATGACGGGAGAACTTCGGGGAACCGTGCGGAGCACATCCCCGGAGCTATAGGTTATAGCTGAGGTTAACGGGGGCTATATATACCCACGCGAGCAGCGGCCAACCCACACACACACGCGCACCCGGTTGCGTGAAATTTCATCGATCCGCGCGCGATTCAATCGCTATACGCGTTATTCGTTACGTACTGCACGGTATAGTAGCTTATCATGCCGCTGATGCTCGAATTGATATAGATATACACAAACAGCGTACACGTAACTGGGTTGCGAAGGGTGGACGATCAAAACGACACTCCCTTTCGGCCAATGAATGCCCTTGCCGATGAAGGCTCTTGCCATTTCGAATTGTTCAGTTTTTTTGCACCGATTGCAGGTCCGTCTTGCCACCCAACAGAGCTGCAGCTTATCAGACCGGCCAGGCAGGCTACGCGGTGAGTCCAGCTGCCACTGCAGCTACTTATACGCAACGACCGGCTGCCGCCGCCGCAACTGGATACGAGACCTATCAAGCGGCTGCCGCAGCCGCTGCTACGGGCACCACCTACGCCGGTAAGTCCTTCAGTCACGGTTTATACTGACGAGCCTAACTGCGAGCTTTTAATTTAATCCAATATATGCTTTTCCAGTACCGCAAACTTACGACTACGGTTACGGTAGAGCAGCTCCAGCGGCAACTTACGACGCCACCAAGACCTACTATCAGCAACCAGCTGCAGCAGCTACTTACACCACGACCGAGACTCACTATCAGGCGGCTAAGCCAGCTTACAGTACGACCAGTGCTTACGCGGGTGCTCCTCGTCAAGCTACGACCACTGGTCAAGCCAAAACTTATCAGGCCACCAGCACCGCTTACCCACAAACAAATCCATCTCAGAACACCTCGTATACATCTGGATATTCTGCACCGGCTGCCCCTGCTCCTGCCCCAGCTGCAGCAGCTAACAGTGAGTTTCCTTTTTGAGCTTTATAACTGAGACGCAATTTTAAGAAATAAATTTGCTGATCACAATTCTTATTGCAGAAGCTCCAGGAACAGCTTATTCTGGTTACGACGCGGCGCTTTACAGCGCTGCCACGATGTACGTAGCTCAGCAACAAAGCGCAAATACCAACTCAGCCAATCAAAAGCCAGGCGGTTGGCAAAGCTATCGCAAAGGTTTTGGGGCTGGTGGTGGAGGTGGTAACATGAAAGCCATGCGACCCAAACAACCACCAAAGCCACAACAACTGCACTACTGTGATGTTTGTAAAATCAGCTGTGCTGGTCCTCAAACTTATCGAGAGCATTTAGAGGGACAAAAACACAAAAAGAAAGAAGCTTCTCTCAAAGTTCCGCAGCAGCCACCAACTAGAGGAGCTGGTAACTCTCTCAGATGTGAATTGTGTGATGTGACCTGCACTGGCAATGATGCCTATGCTGCTCACATTAGAGGAGCTAAGCATCAAAAAGTTGTCAAGTTACATACCAAACTTGGAAAACCAATTCCCAGCGCTGATCCAACAGTTTTGAATCCTAAACCAGGTCAAAAAGCTGCAGCTACAACAACAGCAAAGAAAGGTGTGATAACTGCTACACCCAAGATCAACTTCATTGCTTGTGAGTTCATAATTTTTGTAGAGTAGAGAAATTGGACGTCATTGTAAAGTTTCATTATTTTTATTGAACAAAGACGTTTAATTTTGATTATAGTTTTTTTTTGGTTTTTTATAATTTGATGGGTTAATGACATTAGTTTAATATACATTTTCTAATGATATTCATTTTCTACTTGTATTTGTGAATCTTTACTTCAAATGTAACAAATTTTGATTGGAAAAATTATATTTTCAGCTGGCAATTTGGGTACAGTTAATCAACCACAGGAAAAAATTGAAGAAACTGACGAAGCAGTAGAAGAACAATCTTCTGATGATAAAGACATCCAACCTGTTGGTCAAGAGTACATAGAAGAAAATAAATCTGAAGATGGAAAAATAATTAGTTTCAATTGCAAATTATGCGAATGTCGGTTTAACGATCCTAATGCCAAAGACATGCATATGAAAGGAAGAAGACACAGATTTGCATACAAAAAGAAAGTCAATCCAGACCTTGTTGTTGACATGAAGCCTAGTTTAAAGGTAAGCTGATCATTATAATTTTTTGATGCTTAGACCCCAAAATGCGTTCATCTTTTTTCAATTTTTAAGATGTAAAAAATGAACTGTATTTTTTAGTTAATATAAAATTTAAGTATCGGAGATAAATTGAATTTTTTATAAAATCATTGTATTTTAAAATGTTTGCACAACTTTTGTCAAATTTTTGACAGGGAAAGTTAAAGACCAAGGTGAGATTTGTCTAAAAAATGTCCTGCCATAACTTGATATACATTCACTAGGCACTATATGCTAAGTAGGCATAGATACCCTTGAAATTATAATTATATTCCCTTATATATTTTTCAAAGGGAAAAATCCATCACAATTTTCTACATTTCTATTTAGATTAAAGTAGCAATTAATTTAGCCTGTGAAAAAATGCAATAGTTTACATTAAAGTCACGTAATCATTTGATTGTACAATACGAGATATAATACGAGCATTAAAATCAATACCGACGCAGCAAGCACATGGTCATGGTCGTAGTACCAGCTTGACTTTATAGGGGGCGGTTCATTAGAAGCGACCACTCGCGCATCCGCCATTCGTGGCATGGGCCCCGGGAGTGCGCTCGAAAGAAGGAATTTTTTCTTTCCACTTCGTGCGGTACAACCTCGCGCACGTGCTTCGAACTTCGATAGTTGAATAGTTTACTTTTATAATCGAACAAATAGTTAGCCAAGATGATAACTAAGATCAAAGGTTCGTAATGATTGTTACTGTACTAAATATACAACTAAAAAATTTTTTAAATAAAATTCTTTGATTGAATTGAAATGATGAAACCGATGACGAGACTGAGAATACGTGCAGAGTTTCTCGTTTGATCTTGATTACAAGTATTTTGGACTCTTGATCTTTCGAGGAACATACCTGCGCCGTTTCGTAGATTATACTGGCGGCTGATTAATTCTATCAAAGTTTCTTTGAATTTTAAATGTATTTTAAATGGAAAATATATAAAAATGTATTTAACCCTATTGACATAGAGCTCGTGTAACTTGCAGGTTGTGTTGAGTGATTTTTTTAAATCGTATAATATGTACGCCGGTTATAGAAAAATATAAACGGATGTATTCGTAATTATTACGGAAGTAAAAATGAGTGATATAGTTAAAAAATTAATTTAAAAAAATTTAATTTGAATGGTTTTTGACAATTTTAGAAGCCACGTGGCAAAAAAGCATGCTCTAGTCAAATTAGATTTGCACTTTTCGAATATGGAGTTGTAAATAATTTTTTTTAATATTTCTTAATTCTATCTTGATTTATCAAAATCCACCCTAAAAGCACAATACTTAAATAGTCCCTAATTTAGAGTTCGAAATTTTCATGATTAGTAATATAATTTTTTTTTATAAATCTTTAGCAACGCAAAATGTTGGAAGAAAAGCTACGGCAGCAGCAGATGCGCGAAGAGTTCATGCGTCGCCGCGACGAAATGTCCCAAATCGGTCCCTTGGGCCCAATGGGTCCGATGTGCGACGAAGAAATGATGTATTGGGAGGAGAGACGACGTTACGAGGAAGACTTCGAGTATTACGAGTGGTACAGACGTTACGGCCGAGGCCCGGGTGCTCCACCCATGCCGCCAAGGCCGTTCCCTGGCCCACCGCCCGGTATGATGATGTTCCCCGGACATCAACAACGCAGACCTGACTCGTCGGACGACAAGCATGTAATTGCTCATCACTCGACTATCTATCCCAAAGAAGAAGAATTGCAAGCTGTCCAAAAGATTGTCTCGCACACTGAGAAAGCGTTGAAATTCGTTTCGGATTCGCTGGCTGATTCGGCTTCGCCAACGCCCAATACCAATTCGGCAAACGCAAACTCGAACGATACCAAAAAAGACGACTCGGCCAGTACTGCAGCAACCACTGGCACTACAAACAAAAAGAATCAAAAAGAAGATGGAAGCGATGGTAATCTATTTTCTTTCCAAAAAGAAAAAGAAGATTCGCGGATTCTTCGTGGCGTTATGCGAGTTGGTAATTTGGCAAAAGGTCTGCTGTTATCAGGAGATAATCACGTTTGTCTTGTAGTACTATGTGCTGAAAAACCGACTAGGTAAGCTTTCTAACTCCCTTAAGACTTCAGTAACGTTTGAATGCATGATGCTAACGTTTCAACTTACTTTGCAGGACTCTTCTCAACAAAGTTGCTGAGATCTTACCGGCTCAGCTGAAATCAGTTGCTCCAGAAGAGAGTTATAATGTAGGAAAACATCCAGAATCAGCAGCAATTACAGTTTCAGGTGGAAGTGTCACCGTCAGTGTCACTTTGACTAGTCCATTAATGCGTGATCCGGTTAAACCAGCAGGAGGTAATGTATTTATTGTTAATTCTTTACACCGGCCAAGAAAAGGATAATCGAAATTGGTTGTTGACAAGTTTGATATGTTCAAGCAACAGTTGCCAAGGATATATCATGTCTGTATCTATGTTTGACTCGACGTTATTTAGTTTGTTCTTTTCATGGCCTCGAAAAAAAATATAACTTTTTTAAGGTATCAGGTATCGTTAAAAAAAATAAGTAAACCGGCAGGTGCTAGTTTCAGAGAAGGCACATGCTATGAGCAATTGCTCGCACTTACTTATTTTCCGTACGCCTTTGATCTTTTTAATTTAAAATAAGAACAGCCCTTACGCAACAATATTTGCTCATGCATTTATGAGATTGACACATCTTGTAAGCTTAGCAAGTGTAGTCGCGTTAGCTGATTAGAAATAATCGAATACTAGACACGCGTGTACAGTTTCTTTCGTTCATAATGTTTTTTTTTTTGTCTGTTGGTAAACATTTTTGTTGATTTTCTTGAAATTTTTATTTCAACGTAAAAGTTCGAATTAGATGTGTACGAAAGAGGTTTACAGCGAACTAGCTATAGAGTCTCCTACAAAGAACAAAAGTTTTTCTGCGATATCAAAATGCGAAATTTGAATAGTAGATGAAATAGACAGCAATAATAAAATGCCAAAAAAACCTGTCAATTCGATATCTCGGAAAACAACGCTGAGGCAATCTAAAAACTATGGACTTTTTGATCATGCATACGAAAAATATAATCACCCTCTATATACTTATGTATAATATATTACAACGTGTGGTAGAGAATGTTAGAAAGATTTCAACTGATTTTAAGTTTAGTCTCAAGCAACGACGCGTGACGTTTTTTTCTTACTCTAGCTGTGTAAGTAATAGGCAATGATAGTGATGGGAAATTATTTGCAATTACGTAAAATACTTGCAAATAGGTGTCGGTATCACACTATCAATGTTCCAATCTAATCAGTTTTGCATGGCTAAATAGCAAGCTATGTGAAATTGAACGCGGAAAAAAACGTTGTAGCTTCGAAGCAAATTAATTACAAACAATGTTAGATAATTGAATAACAGAGTCATAATATAGATGCTGCTGATACTTTGGTTGTACCGTTGTTCTTGTTGTTGTTTTTTTTTTTTAAATTTTTTAATGAATGTTTTGAAAAAAACATATGTAGAAGGTATATTAATGTTAACAAAAATGAAAGATAGAGGGTTCCTTTTCTTGCCGGGCATGATCAAACACTCTAAAGTATTGTCTAAGCGTGATGTGCTTTCTTTGTTGGAATCTCAGATAATGCTGGACAGCAGCAGGGAGCTGCTCAACAACAAACGACGCCTGCGACACCGGCTGCGTCGAAACCAGATCCACCAGATGTACTACCCAAGGCTAAGTGTTTGGAGGCTTTAGCTGCACTCAGACATGCCAAATGGTTTCAGGTTTGAAAAAAAATTCAGCCTATCAAATTCGAGTCATTTTCAAAGATTAGAGTTGTTTTTACTATCCAGCCAATGGATATAATTTTGAATAAAAAAAAATTATATTAAAGAATTTGTAAACTAAAATTTTCATTGTTGACTTCACAATGACATTTTAATTGGATAGAGTTTGGGGATAGAGAATAGACACTTCCAGCCTTATGGTATTGTACAGCTCGAATTTTATAATGTCAATTTTTTTCACAGCTTAGGCATAATCGTTTATTTACATTATATTATTTAATAAATATAAATAAATGTGCTAACGATGAAAATTAAGTCAATTTTTCATTGAATGTGCTACATTAAGAAATTTAAATTTGTTACTGTTGAATCAGTATTAAGTTGTTGAAAACCCACAATGGAGAAATAGTTATTTATTAGTAAAATTAATGGCACAATCAAAAGAAATTGACTAAAAGCTATTCTTGACAAATATAACTTTTTGGAATCTTCAACCCAATTCAAGGTTATATTTGTTTAGAAAGTCAAATAGATTTTACAAAAATTTGTAAGTATAATCAAATGATGATATCCAGAATAATACAGTAATTTTCTAAATTTCGAATCTAAAGTCAATTACAAGTTATAGTTAGATGAATACCTTGTGCATCAGGTAGACAAACATTCATAGTTTTTAATTATTCTGGATTGAAATTTGTAATATATTACTGAGTCTAATGTAGGTCTGTCCTCAAACACTCAAAATTGTGCACAACAGTCCATCAATTTGTATTTGTCATTCATCATTTTTAACTTATTATTAATCTTACAAATTATTTGCAGCACTTTTTTGAGGCAGACAAGCAAAAGCACACAGTAGAGTTTATATACATGCCGGGTGTTTTTTTTTTGCTAGCAATTCGCATCCATAAATGACTTACTGTCAATGGAAGCGCAATAGTACTTTATTTATGAACAAGTTTACTTCCGGCTTTTTGTTTTCCTTGAAACAATTTTATTATTAAACGCATAATCACAAACACCCGGTAAAGTGAAAAAAGCTTCGAATATTATAGGAGAATTATAGGTAGACCAAAGGTTGGAAGGATAGAGCTAAAGCCTAAAACTAAGCAAATTTTTTGAATTAGAATAAATGTATTGTATATTACTTCATGAAAATTTTAAAACTGTCAAGATTTCTAAATTAATTTTTGATCAACAGGCTAGAGCAACGGCACTTCATAGTTGTGTTATGGTTATTCGTATTATGCGTGATTTATGCAATCGCGTACCTACTTGGGGGCCACTAAATCCATGGGCATTGGAGTTACTTACGGAAAAAGTGTTGAGCACGGCCGGAGTACCTTTAAGTCCGGGTGCTGCTTTAAGGAGATTGCTGGAATGCGTCGCTGGAGGCATCATTCTCCCAGGAAGTCCAGGTTTGTTATTATTTTAATCGAATTCTATTTTATTTTAATAAATTAAAATGATGAAACCGATGACGAGACTGAGAATACGCGCAGAGTTTCTCGTTTGATCTTGATTACAAGTATTTTGGACTCTTGATCTTTCGAGGAACATACCTGCGCCGTTTCGTAGATTATACTGGCGGCTGATTAATTCTATTAAAACTCTTTTGAAATTTGAATAAATTTAAAACTTGATTGTTTAATGAAAAATATTTACTTCTATTTTTAGGACTGGCAGATCCATGCGAAAAAGACCCTGTTGATGCGATCGGTAACATCACCCCTCAACAGCGTGAAGATATTACAGCTTCAGCTCAACACGCTCTGCGTCTTGTAGCTTTTCGTCAAATTCATAAGGTGCTCGGTATGGAACAATTACCTCCACCAAAACACAAAAGTCCTTTCACACGCAAACGCAGACGTGACAATAGCAACGGCGAGAGCACCGATAGCGAAGCCGTTAAAAAAGACAAGAAGACAGAGGAGATAAAAATGGAAACAGACTCGAAATAATCAAGCTCACCTAATTCTTATACACTAACCAAAATTAACACTATTATAACACCTATTTACTATTATGTAAGATTCACAATTTATTTATTTGATACTCGATCAGTTTTAATTTTTAATGAGAAAGACCATGAAATGTTACACTTATGATGTGGACGTGAAAAAGTAAACAAACGTATACTAACAATCACGAATTTTGTTATTTTTTCTAAAAATAACAAATCAAGTCCAAAAAAATCTCTAATTACTTAAAATCGCACGAATGGGTTTGAAAAATGAAACAAGGCAAAAATCAGGTAGTAGTGTAGATGAGTTTTTGTCGATGATTGTAGAAGAATAATGAAAAATGTAATTAGGTTTTTAAATAAAAAAATGTATTATTTAAAATTATTATATTTTCAAATTTATAAAAATATTATATAATTTTGTGTTATTTTGAAAGCATAACAAAAAACAACTTGAAAGTTAAGATTAGACCTAGTTGAAATCAAGACTTCTCATGTGAATGTATTGTGCAGTCATAATATAATGAGCAAATGATAGTATGCATAATTTATGCAATGATTTTTTAGTCATTTGCGAGGTTGATACATATAGTTTCAAAGCTGTAGATGAAATCTTTTTCACTTATCAACATTCATGTCATAAAAACGTAGAGGGTTCAAAGTTCAAGACTCGGAAAGAATTTTTACTATTACAATAGATTGACCTGGTTTATATTTGATTGTATACTACAGTGAAACATCTTCTCTTATTTATCTATCAGTTTTGTATAGTAACGAATTATTAAAAAATAAAAAAAAACAATTGTAAATTCACATTGTCAAAAAAACAAAATAAAAAATTGCAAAAATATCGTGAAATTGAAAATGATTTTTTCTTTATTTGGTAACTTTCACCGGTCTAAAAAAAGTTAAATTAATTAATTAAAAGTTAACCAGTAATGAGAACAAAATGATAAATTCCAACAAGCATTAATGGTTCGAAAATATTTTTAAAAATACTCCAAATTGAATATGACTCGAATAAAGTTGGTAAGACACCATTATTCAAGGATTTCGTATGAACTTTTTATTACACTTTAGTATGATTATTTTACCTCCGTAAAACGCTTCTCATAATTTTTTGTACAATAATGTGAAAAAAATTACTACTGAAAATATCGAATAATAGTTTTCATGGTGTCCATCAACCATATTTCATACTCACCAAAAAGTTATTGATCAAAAAAACTCCGTGGAAACTCCAACAAAAAAGAACAAAAATATTTAAATGTCTCGCTGCGGCGCGCAGCAGACGAGTTAAGGCGTCTTTCTGACAACACTGTGCCGCGTGGTGTTCCGTAGATCATAACCTACTTATGTCAATTTAGTACAGAGAAGTAGAAACTTATTACTGTGTAAGATATCAAAGCCAATTTCATTAAAATATTTGTGACTTTTTTTATGTGAATTTCATTCAAAAATTAGTATCGATGATAACAAGTTTGTGCATTATCAACCGAAACTTACACTCATAATTTCAAGACAAATATATTTTTAAAAATAAAAAAAATGAAGGAGTCGATACAAGCTATTATAGACAGTGTTATTATCGAACCAAATAAAATTCGACCCATTATTGGTATGTATTGTTGAACTTTTTAAAAGATTTTATTGTTCTTCAACAGAATTATTAGATTTGATAGAATGATAATTATTTTAAATTGCAGTTCATTTTCAAAATGGTCAACTTAAAGATGAAGCAGCAAAGAAAATGAAATGTCAATTGTACAATGATGAGGATAAACAGAAAGTAGTTTTGGCAATATCTAATGGTCGAATGTGTTATAGAGGTTATAGACCAAACCTTGAAAAAGAACCAGATTATACAATGTTGGCAATTCATAATAAAAAAACTGGAAAAGTTAGATTAGTTCAATCAGAACTCTGGGATGTAGCTCCTGTGTTAGTCTCACATACTGAATATAATGATGATAAAAATTTAAATAAACATGCTGAGTTCAATAAATTGTTTGGATCTAAAAAAGCAAAAAGACGAACAGAACAGTATGAAAAGATGAAATTCAATATTGAAGATATCAAAGAACAATGGGAAAAAACTGTTCGAGGTAATTATTATGTACTTTTTTTTTGTAATAAAAAAACAAAAGTTTAATTTGTAAAACTTTTCTTAGATATTCCAATTGCCAAAGAGGATTTAAAAGAGAGAGCAAAAGATGATTTGATTGTTGGAATCATTTTGCCACCTTGTAATAAAGAAGCCAAGCATGCGTCTGAAATTTATAATATTTATGATATTGTTCCGAAGAAAATTTTAAAAACTTTATATGTTGCATCAGTTGAAATTTCTGAAAGTGATATTGTAGAGTAGGTATTATAATACAGGTTATAATTTTATTTTAAATAAAATATTTAATAATAATTATTTTTCTATATTTTTAGCAAGCCAACATTTTTTATGAAAACTGTTGAATATGTTAAAACAGATCCTAAATCTGCATCTAAAATCGCAATGTTGCTGTATATTGAAGCGATAGCTAATTGGTTAAATAAACCTTTAAAATCAGCAAAATCTAAGAATTTCAATATATGTGAACATTCCACCGATGTAAGCTCTCATGTTTTACAAAATTACAGTATGAATAACGGACGGTAATTTTCATAATTTAATCATAGAGTATAATAAATAATACTTGTTATTGTATATCTTATTTATAATTTATAGATCCAAGCCTTGTACTTTTAAATATAAAGGGTTGCTACATTGTATAATACTAGGACTAATAATATGGGATTACAAATTAGACATGGAACAGTTTAATACAATGTTTACTAGAACAGCTACTAAAAAACTAATTGAACTTGCTAGATATATTCATGCTGTACCCATCGAAGATGATAAAAAGAGCGTGGTTCTTCAAATATCAAAAGAAAAGAAATGAATATTAATTTTCTTCAACCCATGCTCGAAAGTACGTACTTTTCTCCTACAAATGGTCCACCCGTTCCTGCACGGAGCAAGAATTCCGCTCGATGGTTCGACGCTCCAATAGCCCCGGGGTTCGCATCTGCATGGACGCAGTTCTGAATCACATGACAGGAGAACGCCCGGGGCACCGGTGGCTCGCGGGCCTACGGCAAGGAGTACCAAGTGGTGCCGTACACGAGTGAGATTTTTCACAACAAGTGCGATATCAATTACGGACTCGGCTGGACGGTGAGGGATTGCGAGATGGTCGGTATGCACGATCTCGGATAGAGGTGCGGGACAGAATAGTGGCATTTCTGGACAGGGGCGTGGACGCCGGTGTGGCTGGTGAGCAGAGCGTGTAGAGAAATCGGTTATCGATATTCTCGAAATTTATTTACTTATCGTCTTTTATTATTTTCTCGTACAGCATCGACGCGGCGAAACACAAATGGCCCGATCATCTCAGGCAGATTTACGCTCGAGTCAAGAATCTCAATACCGATCACGGCTTCGAGCCCAACTCCAGACCCTTCATCTTCCAAGAAGTGATCGACTACAGCAACGAGGTCGTGTCCTAATACGAGTACAACGAGGACACCGTCACTTTTGTGGACAATGACAACACTCAGCGCGACGGTGGTGGCAGTCGCCCCTGACTCACAAACAAAAGTTTTTCTGTGATATCGAAATGCGAAATTTGAATCGTAAATGAAATGGACAGCAATAATAAATCTCGGTAAACAACACTGAGGCAATCTAAAAACTATGGACTTTTTGATCATGCATACGAAAAATATAATCACCCACTATATTACTTATGTATTATATATTACAACGTGTGGTAGAAAATGTTAGAAGTCCAAAAAAATCTCTAATTACTTAAAATCGCACGAATGGTTTTGAAAAATGAAACAAGGCAAAAATCAGATAGTAGTGTAGATGAGTTTTTGTCGATGATTATAAAAGAGTAATGAAAAATGTAATTAGGTTTTTAAATAAAAAAATGTATAATTTAAAATTATTATATTTTCAAATTTATAAAAATATTATATAATTTTGTGTTATTTTGAAAGCATAACTAAAAATAACTTGAAAGTTAAGATTTGACCTAGTTGAAATCAAGACTTCTCATGTGAATGTATTGTGCAGTCATAATATAATGAGCAAATGATAGTATACATAATATATGCAATGATTTTTTAGTCATTTGCGAAGTTGATACGTATAGTTTCAAAGCTATAGATGAAATCTTTTTCACTTATCGACATCATTTGAATGATATATCGGAGTTTTGATACTTGAACAGGAAATTAAAATATCATGCACACGAATACGCTCTTTTTCAAAAAACGAGTAATGAGAACAAGAAGGAAAATTCCAATAAGCATAAATGCAAATGGTTGGAAAATATTTTTAAAAATACTCAAAATTGAGTATGACATGAATAAATTTGGTAAGACACCATTATTCAAGGATCTCATAGGAACTTTTTATTATACTTTTTAGTAAGATTATTTTACTTTCGTAAGTGTCTTCTCTTAAATTTTTTGTACAATGATGTGAAAAAATTACTACTGAAAATATTGAATAATAGTTTTCATGGTGTCCATCAACCATATTTCATACTCACCAAAAAGTTATTAATAAAAAAAACTCCGTGGAAACTCCAACAAAAAAGAACAAAAATACTCAAATGTTCTTGCAAAATTTACTTCGCCAAAGTGTTGAAAATGTTTGTGGAAAATATTGTAATGTGATAAGTATAATGTGGAGGAGAGAAGCATTATTATAAATAAATGAAAGATCCATGGCAAAAAAATCGTTACTCCAAAATACTCTTTGTTCTGGAAGTAATTCGATTTAAATGATAACGTGTTTATAGGCGCGCGCATCATGCATGCTTCATTTCTTTCTCGCGCCAATTGGCTTACTTAGTTAGACGGCAGGGAAAGTCGGGAATATCCCTCAGGACACCTTGGAAACAAAGCTTGTATTAACACAGTAATCCTTGAAACAATAACGACGCTCCAAAATTATTTTTCAGAAATTTGGAATCATTTTATTATCCAGTGGATTTGTGTTTTAAGTGTCATTTGATTTTACAATCAACAAGTGTGCGCAGATACATCCACGTGTGCCGATCATCGATTACCGACCATCGTATTTTTTTCGGTTGTTTGTTTGGTTATTAGATTTAATTATATATTTTTTGGAAATTGTGCGTGACTATTGTGCGTGTGACATATCAATTTCAAATTAATGACTTGCGCACTGACGTTGGCAGCTGACAGACTTAGTTTTGACTTGTCCAACCACATTATCAGTGAGCAGTGAGCACATGTGGTCTGTGTAAGAGTGACGTGTATGACGAACACGTTTGAACAAGTTTATTCCTTCGAAGTTCGAAATATTGTTAAAAGATCTTTTATTGTGTTGTAAAATGGCTGCTAAAACAGATGTTTCGATTTTGCAAGAAGTGTTGGTGATGTGGAGGCGACCGCCTCCCAATTATGAGATAGTATCTCAAGAAGATGGAACACACATAAATAGATTTATTTATCAAGTTCAATGTAATGGATACATAGCAGTTGGCGAACCAGGGCTTTCAAAACAAGTAGCAAAAAGAAATGCTGCTACAGCAATGCTTGCAATGATTTCCCAAAATGAACCGAAGCTTTGGAATTCATATAAAATAAACCAAGAACGAAGGCGAGTTAATCAATTACCAAAAATCGAAAAATTAAATATAAGCAGTAATAATAACGTAGGAAAATTGTCAACCGGCACTGAACAAGAAAATTTGCTTTGCAATTTCAAAACTGGTTTAGATGCGGATAATATTAATTTTATAAAGGAGTTAAATGTAAGTCAATATTTTTTTAAAGATTTTGAATTTTATGATTGTCAGAAAAAACTTTTTAACTTATTTATTTTTTTAATTATTAATTTCAATGTTTCTTTTTCAGGAATATTGTCAAAGAAAAAATTTATGCAAACCAGTTTATAGTGATGATGATGAAATGGAAAATATTCCAAACAAAATATTTTGGATAAAATGTTCATTAAATAAGTATGTAACCAAGGGTTCGGGAGTATCAAAAAAAGAAGCAAAACATGTTGCAGCCAAAAAAATGTATAAGACTATAACGGACCCAAATAGTTCCAAAGTATCCGAGAAGGAAATAAACATACTTGAGATGACGAAAATTTCATCTGAAAAAGCATTCAAGCAGTATAATGATTTAAATTTGCAATCCAAGAAAAGCTTTGTTATTGAAGAAAAAAGGCATATTGAATTATCTGACTGGTACAAAGAAATCAAAAACATGTTTCAATGTAATAAAAATGATAAACCATTTGAACCTTTGGGAGAATATCTTATTGAAGATGATTCAAGTTTGAATTTTGAAGACCTACTGAAAGCTATGAATATAGAATATACAATTGAAACTTTAGCAAATCGAGAAGAAAAGATGATGCCTTACATATGTACTGTTAGCTCCCATACTTACCCACGAATTGTTGAAATGGGAGTGGGAAAGACTGAACATCAAGCCAAAGCAATGGCTGTATCAGCTTTTATAGATACTATAATGATGTTTTTAAACTAAAAAAATAATGTATTAAGTGGATGGCAAAGCCAGCCCAAAAATCTAATTTTCAATCTAGTTTTCTAAATATTTTTTTGAATATTCAGAAAACTACATTAGAAATTTGATTTTTGGGCTGGCTTTGTAATCCCCTTGAGTAGTTTTGTGCGCATTATGCACAAAACTTTCCTTTCTATTACATTCATTAACATTATTTTTATAAATCTGAATTGTGATTGAATTGATACTGACTTAATTATCAAATCTAAAATTTTTTATTACTTTGTTATAAGTAGATTTATTTTATTAAATGTGACTATTATAATATATAGATATCTACGTGTATGCAAGTGATAATATCCTTATTTTTGTGAAAATCATTGTTGTATAGGATAATCAATTGTCTATATAAAATTATAAATGATTGTCTATATATAAAAATACATTATCTATATAAAACTTCTAACTAACTATGTGTAGACAACTACAGACAAAAAGAAATTAATTAAAATTAATTAATTAATAAAGTCATTATCAATATAAAACTGTAAAAGTTCATTTAACAAAAATCTCATTTGTATCATAATCATCCTTTGTCTGAATTAAGCAAAAAATACCATAAAACTGACAACTCTATAAGTCTTATTGAAAATAAAATAAATACCCTGTGACACATTCTCTCTGTCAATTTAGCTTACTAATCAATAATTCATCGCGCAAATTTTGATAATTTCGATACTCCGTTGAATGGTTCAATTTTTTTGTTTTCGTTCGACGTTCATATAAACAGAAGAGGCTGGACATCGTTTCGTCAATATCAAACATTTCGATGCGACAAACACGACCAAGATGATGAAATTCCTCGCTCGTGTGACGTTTAAAGCGATATCACAGCAGAAAGGTTTATACAATATTGCGCATGATGTATATTAAACATTAGTCAGCACGGAGCGATTAACGTAAATATACGATTACAGTTATTATTCACGGCGAGCGTATGTACCTATTCTTGGGTAAACTAATAATTCACGAAACCAGTAAAAAATTATCGAACCGCTCCAGAAATAATTATCCTAAAAATATTATTCAACATCATTCTACATTGCATTTATGACGCTCCGATGTGTCCGCACAGTCGTATGGTAATTTTTTTGCATTGTTGCCAGCTCGATGAGGATAAACTCGAGTCCGGCACTTGATGCTTATCTAATTTATTCTTTAAACTATTTTACGTCTCCGTATCGACGATGTTTTGAAAAAAAAAAAATCCACTAGCCTTTAGAAAACCGATGAAATTTAATACGAGAAAATATATAATAGCGAGTCATCGATCGATTTCACGATCTTCTGAAATAGCGTAAACAAAAAATTGAATAAAAAAGACGTCATCGTGCGTTAAACTTCGCAACGAACAAAGATCGCATATGCGAAGCCGTCCATTTCCACCTTGGGCTCTTTCTCGCTGCGTGTCGAGAGAGAAAAATATATATGAGCCTGCGTGCATTAAACGGCTCTCCAACGTTTGCAAGGCGTTATGTGTCGATAAACCTTAGAAACAAAGACTATTGTCGGTCTAACGGCTCGTTTTTTGCAGCGCACAGCTTCTTCCTCGATTCGCCTCCAAAATCACGCCAATCATAGTCTCGGATGCGTCATCGGAAATTTCGGAAATTTGCCAGAAAACGGCATCGTCGCGTAGTATAGCAAAATGTGCGTAAACGCGTATAAATAATATTTGCGCGTACGTCAATTATACGAGCCCGTAAGGAAGTAGGATCTATTGTTCCGCTATTCGTAGTTCGTTCTCTTTAAATTTCAAATTTTGAAAATCTCGAAAACTTTCTATCATCGATTCGAAAGCGTCATGACTCACAATAATAAACGCGCTGAGTATGTTGGTACACAGACGCACGCACACGCACACGAAGGTAGCTCCGTCTCTCTCGCTCCCATGAGGAAGCTTCGAGAATCGAGGCAGCTGTGCGGCCCCCAAACCTGCTCGGACGCGTTCGATCGAGGCGGAGTCGCGGAGTGGGAGAGGCAAGCTGCTTAAATACGAGCGCTCGACCCCAGGCCAAGGCACTAGCTTCAGAGCCAAGGAACTGAGCAGACGTGTACTCTACGCTATATTGAAAAAAATATAAAAAACGCATCAAAGTTGTATTCTCTGTGCTTCTATCGTGTTGAGGCAGTGAAATTGTTCGTCGTACAGTTTTACACAAATTAAAAGGTGAGTCATTTTTTAGATAATAATCAGTACTTTTTGGTTATTAGTATGAGTCATTTATTAATCGGTCGCGACGTTGCATGTAATAATCGACTTTCAGTGGTGTAATTCGGACATTATCGTACCTAATTAAAGTTTTCTTTCTCATTTTATCATTATTAACATTGAAAAAAATGTCTAAAGTGCTTATGTTATAAGAGTATTGATTTCTACGTGTCTGGCAACGCCCCAGATATCGATTTTCCAAGGGCTCTTCAACGTCGATCGGGCGCGTGGAATTCGAATGCCACGTTCTAATTATCTATTTTTAAAAATTTTCAATGTAAAATCACGTGCCGTTACTTTTACATCGGAAAATATGGTAATTTCCAGCGAGGGAGAAAGAATAAAGATGTCGGTATAGAACTGCGCAATTCTCGCGAGAAAGCCTCAACGTATTTCTTTCAATTCTCAATAACAACGCGAAGATGCTTTGATGCCAAAATAAATAGAATTACTTATCGATAAAAAACATAGAATACATCCAAGCAATCATAAGGGTCAACAGTTCTTCGAAATATTTTTTCTTCGTGACGCAGCTGACGTTCTTTGTTTCGACGGTAGGGGAAGGGAAGGGGTAAAAGCTGCTGCGAGCTGTTGTCGTCGAGTCAAGCCGTTGCGAAAGAACGACGTCGACTTCCATTACGTGTTTTGTTTTGTCGGTCTGTATAACTCGCTGTCCAAATTTATTTTTATTTTGGCCTCGCTCATAGTAACGGATAAATTCTAGTGACTACCGTACGCTACATAACAACAGTGTGCGATTGTTTTTTTTCTCTCGCTGAGAAATATAATTGCTTACGCAGAGATAATCAATACTACGATTTAAACGGTAATAAATTTGTGTGTTTTTTAATTCTCGTCGATAAGATTTTTATCTCCATAGCTTCCACAGTGAAAACGTAGATCTGACGAAACTACGCTTGTTATTGACAGATACAGAGCCGAGATCGCAAACATGGCTGACGTTAAAGTCGAGCGCGAGTGAGTCAGTGCGCGCGTCCGTTGCTGCAGTTCTGGACTAGTCCACCATTTTGCGAACTCGAGTGTGCAATTATCGATTGCGACGCTGAGACGCGATAACTTTTTTGCATTTTAATCGCGCTTCGTACGTGATTTAATTTAAAGTTTACTTATCAGATGTTTATGAATTTTTGACTTTTTGAATACTTCGCGATTACTGATAATTCAATCGTAATATTCAGTTGAATTTTCATATGTATGCATTATCGAGCTGTTATTTAACCAAATTTTTCTTGCATAATTTCAGATAAAAATGCAGATCTTTGTGAAGACGCTGACTGGTAAAACCATCACATTGGAGGTCGAGGCATCCGACACCATTGAAAATGTTAAGGCAAAGATTCAAGACAAAGAGGGCATCCCCCCAGACCAGCAGAGATTGATCTTTGCAGGAAAGCAGCTCGAAGATGGACGCACCTTGTCTGATTATAACATTCAGAAGGAATCCACACTCCACCTTGTACTCAGATTGAGAGGTGGTATGCAAATCTTTGTCAAGACTCTGACTGGCAAGACCATTACCCTTGAGGTTGAGTCTTCAGATACTATTGAGAATGTTAAGGCCAAAATTCAAGATAAGGAGGGAATTCCACCAGATCAGCAGAGATTGATCTTTGCTGGAAAACAATTGGAAGATGGACGCACTCTGTCAGATTACAACATTCAGAAAGAATCCACACTGCATCTTGTACTCAGATTGAGAGGAGGTATGCAAATTTTTGTCAAAACTCTGACAGGTAAAACCATCACACTTGAGGTCGAAGCCTCCGACACAATTGAAAACGTGAAGGCCAAAATTCAAGACAAAGAAGGAATTCCCCCAGATCAACAGCGTCTCATTTTCGCCGGAAAACAGCTTGAAGACGGTCGCACTTTGTCAGACTACAATATTCAAAAGGAGTCGACACTGCATTTAGTATTGCGTCTTAGAGGAGGCATGCAAATCTTTGTTAAAACATTGACTGGTAAAACCATTACTTTGGAAGTCGAGGCCTCAGACACAATTGAAAATGTCAAGGCCAAGATCCAAGACAAAGAAGGAATCCCACCAGATCAGCAGCGTTTAATTTTTGCTGGTAAGCAGTTGGAAGATGGTCGCACATTGTCGGACTATAATATTCAAAAAGAGTCCACCCTCCACTTGGTACTCCGTCTGCGTGGTGGAATGCAAATTTTTGTCAAGACCCTCACTGGAAAAACTATAACTCTTGAAGTCGAAGCATCTGACACAATTGAAAATGTGAAAGCTAAAATTCAGGACAAAGAAGGCATCCCTCCAGACCAGCAGCGTTTAATTTTTGCTGGTAAACAATTGGAAGATGGTCGCACATTGTCAGATTATAACATCCAAAAAGAGTCAACTCTTCACTTGGTTCTGCGTCTTCGTGGTGGCATGCAGATTTTTGTCAAGACTCTGACTGGCAAGACTATCACATTGGAGGTTGAAGCTTCTGACACTATTGAAAATGTCAAAGCTAAGATTCAAGATAAAGAGGGAATCCCACCAGACCAACAGCGTCTCATCTTTGCTGGCAAACAACTTGAGGATGGTCGCACTCTATCTGACTACAATATTCAGAAAGAGTCAACTTTGCATTTAGTATTACGTCTGCGAGGTGGTATGCAGATTTTTGTAAAGACTCTTACTGGTAAGACCATCACTTTGGAGGTTGAAGCTTCTGATACCATTGAGAATGTGAAAGCCAAAATCCAGGACAAGGAAGGTATCCCTCCAGACCAACAGCGTCTAATTTTTGCTGGTAAGCAGTTGGAGGATGGACGTACACTCTCAGATTATAACATTCAGAAGGAGTCAACCCTCCATTTGGTGCTGCGTCTGCGTGGTGGTATGCAGATCTTTGTCAAGACATTGACAGGAAAGACCATCACCTTGGAAGTGGAAGCTTCTGACACCATTGAAAATGTCAAGGCCAAGATCCAAGACAAGGAAGGTATTCCTCCAGACCAGCAGCGTCTTATCTTTGCTGGTAAACAGCTGGAAGATGGACGCACACTGTCTGACTACAACATCCAGAAGGAGTCGACTCTTCACTTGGTTCTGCGTCTGCGTGGAGGTATGCAGATCTTTGTCAAGACATTGACAGGAAAGACCATCACCTTGGAAGTGGAAGCTTCTGACACCATTGAAAATGTCAAGGCCAAGATCCAAGACAAGGAAGGTATTCCTCCAGACCAGCAGCGTCTTATCTTTGCCGGTAAACAGCTGGAAGATGGACGCACACTGTCTGACTACAACATCCAGAAGGAGTCGACTCTTCACTTGGTTCTGCGTTTGCGTGGAGGTATGCAGATCTTTGTCAAGACATTGACAGGAAAGACCATCACCTTGGAAGTGGAAGCTTCCGACACTATTGAAAATGTCAAGGCCAAGATTCAAGACAAAGAAGGCATTCCTCCAGATCAGCAGCGTCTTATCTTTGCTGGCAAGCAGCTTGAAGATGGACGTACCTTGTCAGACTATAACATCCAGAAGGAGTCGACTCTTCACTTGGTTCTGCGTCTGCGTGGTGGTATGCAGATTTTTGTTAAGACTCTTACTGGTAAGACCATCACATTGGAGGTTGAAGCTTCTGATACCATTGAGAATGTAAAAGCCAAGATCCAGGACAAGGAAGGTATCCCTCCAGACCAGCAGCGTTTGATTTTTGCTGGCAAGCAACTTGAGGATGGTCGTACTCTATCAGACTACAATATCCAAAAAGAGTCTACACTTCACTTAGTATTACGTCTCCGGGGTGGACAGTAAAAAAAAAAGATAATTAGTCATGTGATAAACCTGTATAGGTTCTGAAAACGAATTGCTTTATAAATAAATTTAATTTTTTATTTGCCTTAATTCAATTAAACAATGAATTTTATTTACAGTACCTTTACCCATATGTATGATGTATTAAATAATAGAGATGTTTTCAGATTGTTTCTTATCGTTGAAAATTTTAGTATGCCTATTTAATTGAGTCAAATTGAAACTAAATTTAAAGTCACAGAGTTTCAGCTTTTATCTATTACTTACCTAATTTTTTATTGTCTACTTAATGTTTGTCTTTTTTAGATGTCTTGTTAAATTATCTTTAAATATCATTCAATACAATAATTTGAGTACACGCAACTTGTGTAATTTCATTCCAAGAGTTATCAGCTTTTGACATAAAGTTTGAAATGATCATTGATTAATTATTTATAATTTTTAACTGCATTCTTCAAAATCCTATAATCAAGCATAAGGCGTGGATTACCGACCGAGCCAAGTAGATGATGTAGTCAACCTAGAGGTGACGCTGTACTTACCTTTTAGAAATGCTTTAATTATTCTGAAACTTGATAGTTCATTTGATTTATTAAATATACGCGCATCAAGTATCCTCTTTGCTATTTTTGAGACAATAATATTGATACCTTGTCAATGAGAGAGCATCATTCATATCTCTCAAACGATTATCGATCTTCTTTCCGGAATCAAACTGTCACAAGGACCATGATTATGCGCATAAAACATCTGTATTTAAGGAACTACGATTAAAGCTCTCTTATAATGGTTCAACTTCTGCCACTCGAGACACACCTAATAAATGCTCGACGAAAAATAAAAATTCCCAACGCTTTTGAAAAAAAAACGTCTCTCCGGAGTGTCTCGTTGCGTTCCAGGAGGAGGAGGAGTAGCAGTAGCAGCAAACTTGCAAACGAGCTTATTTCGCACTCGCGACAAATTTTTTCTTTTTTTTTTGCTGCTTTTCGCGTACATATAACGTATACAAAAAAAAGGTGAGTAGAAGCAGCAGAAAAGGAGGCAAAAAAGGAAGAAGGAAAAATAATCCTACACTCGGCACGACGAAGAAAGAAGTCTCGAGTAAAAAAAAGTGTCAAATGCATTGCTGACAAATGCATATAAAGCTCGAGCGATTACTGCCACTATATATTCGCACACGCGGCGCGAAACGAGCTCGCTCGCACTTGATTTTATAATTGGAGTGAGAAATAAATAAAAAAAACGTAGTAGTAAACGTTTGTCGGAGCTTTTTCAATTTGAACTTATTAAATTTCCGCTTTTTAATAAATATATAAACAAATATAATGTACAGAACGCGAGGTAGTAGGTATACACATACGCGCGTATTTTACGAATAACGGGGCGCGCGCCAGCCATAATCGGAGTTTCAAGTAGTTTCGTATTAAACTGTGCAGCAGTAGTAGCAGGTAGGCACCCACTCGGGCTGTTTGCGTTTATATTATTATACATTTGTTGGATTGCCATTGCCTGTATAGAGGGCCAGAGGAATTTACTCTGCTCAGACATACGTGTAATGAAGTTAAAAACATACACACGGTGTGAATTTTGGAGTATTCCGTACTACTGCCATACGTACAACGAGGGGCAGAGTTTACCTCTGCTGCAACACTCGATGTACAAAAAGAAAAAATAACTGTACCGTCGAGGCGGGGGATGAGTAAAAGAGCCCCATCGAATGCGCATTACTAGCGATGATTTTCGACCTAGTTTCGGGTCTGTACCGATATAATTTTTGCACTCGACGTTATTCACGATTTAGTTCGTAGAGTTATTCGCGCTGTCCGCGTCGAAATTCTCCACAGTTACGGTGGAGGCAGAAATTACGTGGAATCATTCGCGCTCGAGAAAATCTTCCCTTCCGTATACACACACGGTTGACCTCTTCTCGCTCGGGAAATAAATCGAACGAGACAAAAAAAGGAGCTATCGAAAACAACAAAAAAATCATCGGAGGATCTATATTTACAAGCGACGGGCACAGGCGTGCGCGTGCCTCTCGCTGCACATGCACATGCACAGCAGCAGCAGCAACTCTATGGCAAAAAGAGAGCGCGACGCGAAGAGAGAGAGAGAGAAAGAAAGAGAGAAGGCGATATACGGAAGAGACGTCGTAGTCGGTCTGTGTGTGTGCATGCACTATATCTGTGTGTGTGTATGTAGGGACCCAAGTCTCGCAGCGGACCCGAGGCGCGTGGTGTGGTGTGCTGCGGCTGTGTGCACGGGAGTAGTGTAGTAACTTCAGTCTCGAGCCGGCTTCGAAGCGCGACGGTCCCTTTTGCATGCGACTTGCAGTGGTTAATAATATATACATATGCGCGTGAGAGTGAGCCGCGCGATGTGGTGATTCTTTCGAGGTATAGGTGAAAATCGGCCGATTCTCGATACACGCATAATAAGCGGAGAGCTCAGTGAAAACGCGTATCTTTTTTTTTCTACTTTTTTTTCTATTTTCTTTTATTATTTGTGAATTAATTCTCAATCGCCGAGTGATGTTGAGACGTTGAATCTTCTCTCCTGTCATCCTGTTTGACAATGATGACGATCGTCAAGAGTCGTCATCGCCGCCGAGCAGCAGCAACGGCGGATCGTTATTATGTCACGATTTCGGCGGGCCAGCTGCTGTGCTATTGTTTGCTCTTGATACTCCTGCAGGCCAACGGTGAGTAATTATTGCTACAGCATTGTTAGGGAGAGATACAAAAAATAATCAAGAAGATATGCACGACCGGCAAAGATTATTTATTCAAAGTACATATAACTGTCCGGCTCAAGCTCGATATAGATTATATCTCGGTGCGGCCAAAGGCCCCGCGCACCGCTCCGAGATAGAGACGTTGTAAAACAATACACGCGCGCGAGCTGCAATGATAATTCCCTCCCGTGCACGTAGTGGAAATAAAAAAAAAAAATCGGTTATGACGAATCGACCGTGTGTGTGTATGTGCTGTAGCTGTAGTGGCGTTTCTCTAGCCTCCGGCGGAAGATTCGAATTGCGAACTCGCCGATCTCCTCGTGCACTCCTTTTTCTTCTCGAAGCAGCAGCAGAGAGAGGAAGATAGCAAGGAGAACAATAGGAAACGAGCCAGTGAGAGAGAGGAGCAGACACACACGTTGCGCTTTCGGGGAAAATTAATTAGCCTTTACCCTGTACACGATCCTCCCGGCAGCAGCAGCAGCAGTGCTCGGCAAATACCGTTTCGATTTTCGACGCTTTTTATTTTTTTACTTACTTACCTTACTGCTCGCGCGCAGTGATTCCTGATTTACGAAGATCGCCACCGGCCTTAGAAATTTATTAAATATATAGCGTTCGAACCTTGTGCGCTACTACTGCAGAGCTTGCTCAATGCATGTACACAACACGAAAGTAGCTCCCATTTGTATCGCGCAAGTGTATATGCGTGTGTACCACACGTAGACTTCCGCTTCAAACCACGCGCGCGGCGATACATTTTGCGGGAAAAATGCGCGAGCCCTCCTACGCTTTTTATGCATATCGAGCCCGATAATACCAGTTTCTAGCTTGGGCTACTACTACTACTAGAGAGTTTTAATTTTTTTTGCACCCGCGTGGATATTTTATTATCTCGAATCAATCTCCGTGCCTGTGCGCTGGTCTAGAAAAAAAAAAAAAAAAATCGGAAAAATGAAGAAAAAAAATACTCCACGCACTCGATCGCGTGTGTGTATTTTCCTGTTATAATGCGCTCTCGGCTCGCTCGTATACGCAGAATGAAATACCGCAAAAGTATAGCGTCGCTCGCGAGTCGCCGCGGCGAGCGCGCGAATTCGAGCTCTATATAGCAAGTTCTCCTCGTCGCGCGCGCGGCAAGAAACTATTCGCCGGCGTTGGCGATTTTTTTTCTCTCTCTTCTCTCGGCTCTTTCATTTCCTTTTTTTTCGGCATAAGTGCATTGTCGTCGACGCGTCATCAAATCTGTCGCACTGCACTGCACTGCGCACACCTCGAATAGCACACCTCGTCGGACACGGGATACTACTGTACCGGTGTAGGACGTCGTCGTATGCACGTGCGGCGCAGATTTCGTTCATTTCTATTCGTCGTCGTCTCGGATCGGATCGGATAGTTCCTCGTCTGCGAGCGTTAATAATCCCAATACCTCGGCGACTCTCTCGATCGAAGCGCTTACCGAGTTATTTTAAATAGAGTACCTACACTACCACTGATAAACGTATATTTATAAACATTGATCGTTACGGACACGTTTTTGATGCTCGGCCAAGTGTGCGTAGTCGTAGCAATAGAGTAGTTATATTTATATAACGGGGCGCCTCTAATACACACTGTCAAAAGTGTCGAACGCGTTATACGTGTTTATTACTCTACCTGCCTATACGCGAGCTTAACGATCTCGTGTTAGCTCACGTACTGCAGATCTTGTGTGCCTTAAATATACCCCAAAAAATGCGTTCGTGGTATACACTTTTGTCCGCTTCCTTCTCTCTATACAGACCTTAGGAATTTTCGCGAAAACACACACACAAAACATCCGGACAAATAATGTAATCATTTTATATTGTATGTACGCGAGTATAGTCGACGCATCGCAGAAATTGCTCTGGATGTATACGCGCCTGCCTGCCTGCCTGTCTCTCTCTCGGCAAATCCTATTATGATAATTTATGGTCTAGGTTTTGGGAGTCGCGCGAGTCGAGGTTTGTTGTATTTTCGGGGCAAAAAGCACGTCTTATTTTCTTCGCTCTGGCTGCAGTGTAGCTGTGCTGACGTTACACATTTCGCCTTATGCTTTCTCTCTCTCTTTCTCTCTAGCTCGGCGTTATACACGCATATAGCAGCTACCCGTAAACACGAACAATATCGTTATTGCAATGGAGTTCTCTCTCTCGCTCTATATATAAGCGTAGGCGCGCTGCAAAAGCGGTGCCACCTTTTCGCTCAAATACACGAATGCGATAACTCCCTTCCCCTTTTATAATTTTATGCGCTCGAATTTCCTCGCTCTCTCCCTTCCGCGGGTGGCGCAAATATTTTGTTAGCCAGATTATCTGCAGTTCTGCAGACTTTCTCGTACGCACGACGCGTACAAATTTACGAGTCCAAAATTCTCATATCAATTTCCGGAACTTGAAATTCAAAGCCGCGCACGCGTGCGAGAGCTTTTTTTTTATATGCATTATTATTTTATTTTATTATCAGCGCACAATGCGCACTTATATCGCCTAGCCCCGCCGCTTCTGGGTATAGAAATAAAAAATCGAGTGACTGAGAAACGACGTATAATAGTCCAAGCGCCGCCGCGTCGGACATTAAAAGAAGCCGCTCTAGCTCGCGCCGATCTTTGAATTTTATCAGCATCTATATATACCATTGGCTTTCGCTATGTGTACGAGTGCAACGGCGAGTCAGGCCGCCATATAGGCGAGCTGAGATCGGCAAACACACACGTATAAGCGCATGGACTTGTATTTTATAAATATATATATATACGCATTTGATGTGTCAATATAACCGTACGTCACTGCAGCAGCGGCAAAACGAGCGATAAGGTGTGCGAATATACTCGTGCGCGCACCTTTATATATCGAGGATATTTTATAATTGTGCGCAGCGGCGAGCGAAATATATATTTCGCAAAGCAAATATTATATAGCACTTGTAAGTACTATACTTTGTTGTCGCGTACGTACGTATATACTTGGAAAAAGACCATTGCATTATCATTGCGGCCCGCCGTCGCCGTCGCGCACCGAAGACAAGAAGAAGACGAAGAAGATGAAAGTCTTGGTAAATTGCAAGTTCGCGTCTGTGTATGCTGTCCCTCATTTTTTGCTGCTGCTGCTGCTGCTGCTTCGCATGACACAAGACTACTCATTTATTCGTGTTGGAATGTCAAAATTAACAAGTGCTTCTTGTTTTTTCTTTTTTTGCTTGAACGATGATGATTTGTTAATAAACCAAAAAAATCAGGGGCACCTCGTCGATATTTGCTTAGTTAGCCCAGACCCACAGCGAGACAACGGAAGAAAATCACACATCGAATTCCGAACGACAAACGAATTAGAAAATAGCAATTACACGTCGTGTACACGGGCCGCGTTCGAAGTATAAATACATTATGAAACTATTGCCGCCACCAGATATATATACGGCGGTAGTAGTGTCGGCTCCCTGTTTCATTATGCATTTATTCGTCACGTGGGCGCGACGAAATCAAAGTCAAAGCATATATCGGACGTGGCTGCTGGGGCTCGACGAACTTTCGGATTAAAAGCTCCGGACAACTTCGTCCTCTCTCTCTCTTGCTGGCGCGTGTACAGCAGCACCGGTGGTGGTGCCAAACTTATACCATATAAAACGCGGACAAGGCGTCGATCAATCGACCGTACAGCTCGTGTATATAACTACTACATATAATATAACGTTCGCACGTAGCTATACACAATGTAATCCTCGTTTCTACCTGGACGTTGTGGCGCTTCATTGAAAAGTCAAATACTCGTCGTGTTTTTTCGTCTTCTTTCTTCTTTCTTTTTTTTTGTCATTGTCGCGTTCGCGTACTTTTGGATTTTTTCGTGCCTCGACGTTAATTGCGCCCGAAGGTTCTGCTGCAGCTGCGGTGTGCTAATAAACTCGTATCTTTCGCCTCGCGACACACAGCCGCGACCGTAAAAAAATCTATTATATGTGCAGCTTGCGTGTAACCGCGCGAAAGTGAATCAGGCGCGCGTATAGTACTAACGCAAGGGGCCTAGCCTCGTATATAGCTGCACACACACAGCTCATTAGGTCGAAATAAACAATCTGTCGCGTCGGCACCGCAGCAGCAGCAGCTTTGAGAAAAAAAAAATAGAAGTACGAGAAGTGTAAGTAAAAGAAAACGGCAGAAGGGAATTATAAGTATATACGCGTGCTAGGTCGGCACTACATTTCGCCGCTCGGAGCTCCATTATAAATTCAGGCGCGAGCTTAGATATTACGCAACAACAAGGCGAAAAGAGACAAAGCCAAGTGCGTTTCTGTGGCTGGCGCGATATCGCGTATACGTATACCTATCCTACTACTACAAATGCACCGACTGTTACACGGCCCTATACATAGCATCTGACAAGTGGAGCGAGCGAGCGAGAGGCTGAAGTTTTCGCGGTGGCGGAGTCTGAACGTAGCATAACACGCACAAATGTATGCGGAGAGAGAGAGACTAAGTCACGAGTGCCGCAGAAAGAGACTCGAGAATATATATCGCGAGAGAGAGCGAGGAATTTTGCACGCAGGCAAGTGTCGAGGTCTAAATAAACGAGACGATCGTTTATTCGAGAGAAGTAGGTATATAATCGATCGATAACAGGATAATAATCGCAAGCGCGGAGAGGCTATATAGGCGAGAGAGGCACAAAATGTCACTAGAATTTTGCATCTCTCGTATGTATATAACGCGCCGGGGTTCTGCATATGACGAGGCAGCAGCAGCAGCATCAGCTCGAGCGAGCGACTTTCCAGAGTTAATTCGATCTGTCGTTGGCACGTCATATGTACATTTGCCACACGAAGGGAAGATTATTATTGAAAGATCGATCGGCGGCTGCTGCTGCACGAGGCACGAGTATAGCAGAGCAGCTTCATTGATTGGCGAGTGTGTGTGCAATGTGCGGTGCATAGAGACAGACAGAAAGAGGGAC